TAAAATTTAAAACTGTAAAAAATGGGTGTCATGGAGCGCGTCAGAATTTAGTTATTTACAAAGAGTGCACTTTGTAATGTCCAGAGTCATAACTGTGTACAATGGGGCTACAACGAAATAAAATTTAAACATACAAATTGAGAGTTGCACTTCATTTCATGTGACAATCGGTTACTTTATATATTGATTCGACGAACAGAAATAAATTGCAAGAGACAAGCAGTGTTTATTGAAACTGAGTAGCGAGTAACAATTCCATTTTGTGTTGCTCTCAAGAACACTCCAAAACAAAGTCTAAAAATCAACAACAAAAAAATAATTTCTTTTTAAAGCAGGATATATATCAAAAGCTAGTTGCGCATTTGAATATAATTGACACAGGCAGATTTCGAGTGGTAGAAAGCCTGTATCTGACGATAGACGGCCTTCGGTGAAACGGATTATCAATGAAAATCTGGTCAACAGATTTAGTAAAGTTCAGGTCAAGGAATTTAAACTAAATGGATACACATAAAATTCATTATTATATATTTGAAAAGTCAATTCCTTTCTCATAATCATAATTTGTCGATATACTTTTCTTTCCAAACGTTGTGATTAAGTTTCGGTGTATTACATTTGGGCAGACATTTTTGTATATACTTACATGTACGTATTATAAATTTTCATGTATTAAACGTTATTTTTATCATAATTAACATTTTGTAAATTTTCTATCTCTATGTATCTTAAATATCATTATTACATTTTTATTTTTTATGATGGAATATTGATTAGAAAATGTGTTTTAACAATTTTTCAAGAAACTTGTCACCTTTCATTTTTAGGAACATTCATGTACACAATTGCTTTGTGAATCATAATCTTGTTTGGAAATATATGACATATAATTTAAAACAATAAAGTAATAGTGAACTTTCTTTTTTGTCATATGCATAATATAACAAAAATAAAAACCTATACAAGAACACTTAATGCATCACTTTTATTTTAACGTCATTGTAACACGTCTGATAAACACACCAGTGACAGTATGTCCAACCCGTACCAAATCCTATTATCTGCTGGACACCAACTGGCAACGTAAAATAAAGTATAGCGCACTATTTGATACTTTCGTAATCGAACTTTTGTTGTCTATTTAGATATACGTGTATAACTTTATAGTTAAAATTTCTCCTTTCATTGACACGAAAATTTTCTTACTGAAATTTAAAATTTCATGCTTTTGAATTAATAAGTGATCACATGCATTCCTGCATGTAATTGGATAAATAAAACAACAAAAGAAAATTCAATACTTGACTTGGACTTGAAAATTATTCCAGCTTCAAATTAAAGAGGGAATAGCTTGAACAATGAAGTTATGATAATGTGAGTATGAAAATAAATAAAATCAATTATTAAAATAAAAAAAAAAATTGAACTGTCATGCTCGTTATTGCTAATAAGAGTAAAGTTTATGATTATTTGTTTCTTGGATCAATGCTTTTCAATATGTTTAGTGTCATTCATACAATATGTTGAGGTTCTGAACAAGAGTTGTCGATAACGACGTACATAGATGATACCACACAGCTTGTGTAGTGTCAAGATGAAACGATATGCTTATGTAATTAGAAAGATTGATGTTTCTTGTCTAAGACGAACTGCAGTTAAAGTTTGTTCATTATTGATAAACAATCTGTTTTAAAGAATGCATGCACTGGCATGAGACTTATGCATGAGAAAATATGGTGCAGTTAAGACAATGCAAAGAAATATCATCAATTAAACCCATGTCATAATTTTGCTTATTGTTTTCTTCTTTCCTTCTAACATTTAAATTGAACTTTGATATATATATATATATATATTTTTAAATATTAACTGCAGCTTTTGAACAAAACCTATTGGCAGCACCAGAGAGGTGTATATTTAACAAACTGTGACATTTTTTTAGTTTTAAGAACCAAAAAACGTCTGTTACAAAATCTTAAGACAAGCATATGTTGTGACATTGTTTATCTTCAACTGATATGAAATTACTTAGTTATTTGTTCTCCATTGTCAGAACTATTGGTGAATCATATGCAACAGTTGTTGGTTGGAACTCTACACTGGGGTATTTCTGGTCAATAGATGATTTGTTTTCTTATCCTTCTATTCTGTTTTGTTGCTAAGATACAAAGCTGACCATCGGAATTTGGAGTTTTAATAGTCAAAAAAGATTTTATTTGTATCTTTTTTTTTTTCATTTTTGAAGCACCCAAGAACATTTTGAAACATTTTTGTACGAATATTAATTTGTACTTTACCTTGTACGTTTTTCATACATTTTGGGGATAGAGTTTCGCTCTGAACTGACGGGAAGTCATGTAATTTTCATCAATTTCTTCATTTGATATCTTTTTGTTGTTAATCTATTGATTGTAGAGTCACAGATGGCGCTTTCTGATAAGGGATGGACAGTGTATTGCTCCTTTACTTCTTAAGATGATAATCAACATAACAGTATTGTATGTCATGTATTCTACGTAGAGTTCTTGATTTCCTTTATAAGTGATTATTACGTAGGTGGAGTCTAACCCGGAAACAATTAGATGAAAGAGTCGCACTTGAAGTGAAATTGCAAAAGGTGAAGACAGATATTTATATCGAGGAAATAAGCATGCATTTGAATAATAAAAACTGCAAAAACCTTTGTGTGATTGATGGTATTTAACATGTGGTCCTTTTATAGTCTATCCCATCCCAAATGCAGTATTGATAATCATCCAGTTACTAAACATTTAACATAAGGAATGGTAGCAATTATTCAAAATATGCTATGATTTCTTAGAAAACAAAACTGCTCTTGGAAAATGTTGAAAGCCGTTCTGGATTTTAAAAAAAGTTGGTTGCGCGAACATTACCAGCTAGCATTCATACAGAAATTTCTTTTGCTGTGAAATTTTAAGTTTATTCTATTATTTCTTTTTAAAAAAAAAAAAAACAAAACAAAACAGAAAATCATCTAGTTTATTTAAGTTTTTGCATTGTACAGATGTTACGCGCAATGTTGGTACTTGTAACACTTAATTTTGCCCTTTGATTGCAACGCTTCTTTTTTTTTGACGTAAGGCTTTTAACAGTTCTACTAGTGATCTTCCGCTATATCTATGAAATATGCGTAAAAAATCACGACTACTTTAATTCGAAAAATAATCAAGAAAAGGATGGACTCGATTTGAACATGATTACGTTTGTTTATTACTAATCCACCATTACTCTAAAACGTATTTCCATGCATTACTTTGAAGCAAAACGAATTATGTGTCATACTTTATAAAAGAGAACATTGACTGGACCTTCCTAAATGCTGAGTAAAATATTTATAAACTGGATAAATTTATTAATCTGACATTCAATCTGACCATATGTATTTGGACATTGTGCATTTGCAATCAAATGTGTATTCGACAAAAAATATACTTCGAATTTAAACCTTCGAAATATGGCTTTTATTTATTTTTGCAGTCATTTAAGACGCCATTTTTGTTGAACTTGTAAGCCATTTATTATGAAATATGTCAAATTTTCTGGATTAATCATTTCTGGAATAATTATTCTGATATTATTTGTTTTTTTTTAAACTTTCCTTTTATTGAGTAAATTTAATCTTTATATTAAATAGCATGTTTTCAATAAGTTTATTTTTTCCATAAAGCTATCTCTTTCTTCTTTTATGCCTGCACTGAATGCAAAATCGTTAATTACGTCAGAAACGACATTGTTTACTTTTGTTTTGGGGGAAAAAAAGAGACCTCATTTAAGGAATGTTTTTAAGTTTTGTTTGGCTTGTTGGTGTCCCTTCTCACGTAGGCATATTTCATAAAACGCGCCAGAGTTTCTCCGTATATATTTCTATGCGTGCGTATACACGAAAATGACATTCAAGTCAATTTCACAGTTGTTAGGAAACACAGCAAATGTTAATATTTAAGAACTCTTTACCCTAGAAAAATGCGTGATCCCTGGTTAAACATTTAACGCTGTACACGCCAAAAATATCTTATATACGCTGTAAAATATTATATTTTGCAAAAAATCTAAGTTTATGTTGTTTTCTGATTTGAATCAAGTAACCCTATTCAAAATCTATTGATTCATACCAAAATAAAATCCATAGACTGCGAGCATTGTTTCAGAGTCACTGATGGGTTTAATAGGCATAACTTACTAACTTTGTAAAATGACAAACAATATTGCGCGTAACATCAAAGTGCTTCGAACGACGTTTAGCTACAGCTTGAATAAAGGTTACATTAACACATTTAAGAACATTTCTAGCACTAAAATTTACATTCAACTGATGGCCCAAAATATATACTTATATTGACCAAAAAATGTCATTTGAAATACTGAGTAGACAATTTACGACGAAGAAGGTCTTATCAGTAAAGAGACATCCATACCTGCTGTCATATCCCGTATTTTATTGTATTTTTAATAAATTGATCCAACATTGCTATTCCTGTATCATTTGGATATTAGTATTTCGATATTGCCTGAATTTCCTCGATAAAAGTAAAACAGTTTTCTTAAATGTTATTTTAAAATTTAATTAAATTTTGGTGTAAAAATTTTCCTTTCCTATATATGTTCAATATAGGCACAGATATAGTATACATGTACACGAAAACCCCAGTGATTTCATTGAAATGAGTTTTATATGTTCCAGAGAGTAATTTTTAGACTTGTCGATGTGATGTCAATCGTAAAATATTACGTGTATCATAAACCATTGATATTTCTTTGTCAGTAGAAGTTGAAATTTATCAAATATGAAAATTTAGTTTTTTAAACCATAAATTTAACAAAATTTAGTCGCACTTTATTTTGTGCTTTTAGGTTAGGTAAGACTGATATTAGCACATCGACCACGCAGAAAAGACGGGGCTATTCGTCCCCACCAGCTGCTGTCTAATTTGTTTTTCCCCGTATTGATCCCTTAACTTTGCCTGTGTCGGTATGTATATAAAACATAATAGATAATAGCGTATCTTTTTGGATGACCAACGCATTAGACTAGGATATACTACAGGTCTTCCAAAATCACAGCAAATTCCGAAACATTCCGGAGGAATTATTGGACCTCAAGGTATATTACACTGTTCTAGTTGCGTCTACATCGCCAACATAGGGTAAACGCTTCATCATCACTGATTATTATATTTTAATTATCGAAAAAGTTTCATTTAATACATTTTATCAGCTTTTCTTAATTCAAAAATCATACCTAGAAGTGGAAACATTATTATAAAAACTTCAATCTTAAATTATCTGCATAGAGGTAAAGATTTTTAGAAAACGGTTGGCATACAGTGTTATTTTTTATTTCTTGCCATCAATATCAGTTGAAAGATATGGTCCTTACTTGTATCCATTTATTACGCCAACACATGCGTGTTTATTATACATCCTAATGTGCTCTTTGAAGATAATCACTGTAGTGAAAAAAATCTATTTATTTGTTGAGCATAAAAATATCATATTCTTCAATTTTATTCCCTTATCAATGAATCCGATTTGATTTCAAATATATAATGCACTTTGATACGAAACAGAATAATATGGTAACATTTTACAGAACTGCATAGATACAAGAAAAAGAAATTATCTGCATGCATACTTTAAAAAAATCCTATTCAATAAATCTTTGAAAACCATGGAAGAATCAAAATATACCTAATCACGAAGCCCTGTAATATTTGCAGCTGATTAAACATTTTGAAAGGGGGGGGGGGGGTCTCCATATCAAAAAATACTATAGTTAACTGTAGTGTACCATACATCTCTATAGTTTACAAAAGTATTAAATTCTTATCTATAGTAAATCAAAGAATTTTTACTATGGATATTATATGGTTATATTTTATGTTCTCTAATTCATACATGCACAATTTGGATACCAAATGGGAATTAAATATTATTTTTAAACTGTATATCATTGTTATAGAATTTTAAAACTTTTAAGCTTCAAAATCTCAAAAATTGTTTTAGAGTGAAGTTTAATATTAAATCAAAATATCAAAGTATTCATTATAGTTATCTAATAACTATAGTTTACTATAGCTAACTATAGTTAACAACACAAATGCTATTTTTACTATATATGTTTTGATTGTTTGTAATTAATATTCTACCAAACATGTAACATGTACAAAAACACTGCAACGATTCGTGAACTTTGGTACAGAAAAGAATAAACCCTTTTTCAAGGATTTTTTTCAATTAAAAGTTTTATAAAATCTGAAAAATTGCCCATTGTGTGAGAGAGAATGGGCTATTTTTCAGGCTTTATAAAACTTTTAATTTTAAAAAATCCTTTAAAAAGTTACATATTTGGTAGAATATAAATTACAAACAATCAAAACAAACACACATAGTAACAAAAATAGCATTTGTGTTGTTAAGGTATTATGTAAGCAAATTTTGAATTCTTTGTAAATTATTCCTTTCTTTTGAATTCATCTACAAGTAATCATCTTTTGGAATCAACAACTGAAGATATACTTCGATATGGTTTTAGAATAAAACTTGTTTCTAACACTATCAGCGACTTATTTTATTTTTTAATATTCATTTTAAAAAGGACAAAAACAAGATGTGTTCAGAACGAGTTTTACATGTATCTTAAAATAAATGTTCAAACACATAAGGTACTGATGCACGGAAAACTGAATTAACATGTAAGAAGAGACTAATTACTTTTAACTCTATATTTCAAAAGCAAATTATCAGTTAAATACATTTTTCAAATAAATGTTTGAAAAATTATTCTCAAACACAAGGCAACACCCTGATTAGTATATACATGTATCTGCAATATAAAATTTACTCGGCTGCTAGTTCTTTTCAATTTTTCTTAGAAAATCGGGTTTTTTTTTTTTGACATTCCAATCGTTTCCAACAACTTTTAAATACAAGATACTAGATTTATATGATTTTTTCTTTCACGTGTCCATTGAGACATGAAGCACTTTAAAATTTACAAAATGACACTGTATTAGCTTTGATTCCAGTTCTATCCAGCCAAGTTTATAGTTTACCAAGATCTTCTGCTTTATATTCAGAATTCTCAACAATAGTTCTTTCATATGACTACATTTCGTTCCATTCTCATCGTCTGATTCGTTTTAGACTTTTTCCCTGCTTTCTGTTTCACCTTCGGCTTCAGATCTGTTACAGTTGTGTTGCTTTTGTGCATGTGACCAGTTGATAGTTTTAAAATAAATGTATAGCCTTGATACTTTTCTTTATATTCCAGTCATTTCTGAAGACACATATCCAATGCCTATACACACCAGGAACTCTCATACATACTGTCGCTGTCTTTGTATTACTGCCTTTATGCGTTGTCAAAATGGTTTCTTTTACTGGAAATCAATTTTCAAGACGAGTTCTTTCCATGAACATTTCTCATTGTCATTTTCTCACTACATTTTTGATGTTTCAAGGCTCTTCATATTAATTCTTATTTGGCTATCATCACCATTGTGATATTTTCAAAGACTGTACTGAATATCTGATTGACTACTGTGGTCATTAAAGACTAGATCTTCCAACAAACTGTTAGAATTTGCGGATACTGATTGTAAACCTTCATTCGCTGACCATTTTTCGTGTCCTTGTTATGAAACAGTATCTATCCAAATATTGCAAACACGAAAAAAAAAATCTCTCTCCAAAAATAACATTAATTTTATTTTCACTCAAACTTTATTCAATATATTAAACTCGAAATAAAGGACACCACAAGTTTTAACACATCTGTTTCATGTTTGAATACTTTACAAGATATAGATATAAATGACGATCTAAAAAACTAAACTTATGATAAACAGGATATGACTTTTAAAACTTTTCTATCGTCACTTGTATATGGTATTTGTATGTATGTCTTCCAACTGATTCGATACGCAAGGGCATGTTCTGAGTTTCTAAATTGAGGCAGTGCTTCTGGTAAGTTTATCAACAATGTCGTTTAGTCAATATTTCCAAAATGTTGTCATCGCTACAATAACCCTGTTTTCAAATACAACCTACCCTTGGGTAGAATGCTGGCTAAGGTTTTTCATACAAATTGTAAGGCCATTGTCTACATACTGATTTGTCTGCGATTACTCCTTTTTTTCCTAATCAAGACAAAGGGTTCATCACGACTTTCTCCTCTATGATCCTGAGGTCCATCTGTATATGTCCTCTATCATTTTTGTACTGTTTTATTGCTTTCTGAGTTCGATCACTGATCTTTATCTTCTTTCATATGTCAACTCAATACAGATTGATGCCTTATACGTGTATTTGTGTTAGTTCTTACTTCTTTTGGCTTAATGATATTCGTTTCTTTGTGCATTAATTGTACTTTAAAATTATTGATATTATTTTTTTTGAGAGGGGGGGGGGTTTAAAATCTGAAGATATCAGACTCAAATACGGATGACGGTTCATCTAATTTGGACGAAAATTACACCTTCATTTTATTTTAAAGTTGATCACCATTTTATATAGCGTTTGTCAGCTAACATGTTTATATAATGTCGTAAATTTGTAGGAAATAATATTTGAATTGATATCTTTTTAAAAAAAAAATTCTGAAATACATTGATAATTCCAAAGTAATGAAAATGTTCCAGCTATATGGTTAAAGCTTAGATTCTAGTCATTTAGGTATGATCTAAATCAAGCATTTTTCTCTTAGCACCAAACCAAGCAAAATGGATTTTTTTTCTATTCTTTTATATTTGAAAAAAAAAAGTTATCCACAAAAAAGCAAGCATGTAATGATGTGCCCTGCATTTTTATCATTTGAATAAATAATTTGATTTTTGCTGACGTTTTCCTATTAAAAAAAAACAATAATAATAACTTAATGCATTATACCTAACTAAAGCTAATATACAATGGCCCATGTAATAACCCTTTACGTATACATATACATTACCACAAAAAAAAACCCACATCACCACTAGGCAACAATAAATACAAGCAACAAAAGTGTACTCTGTGCCTTTTGGTAGCCTTGCACTTCAAAACATCATTTACTTATTCTATAGAAAGACCTTACATGTATACATATACTATAGTAATCGGTCATTGTCCTTCTCCCAGCATGAAGAAAAAAAAATCTTTACAAAAAGCGTCCTATAATTCGACTCTTCTTAATTATTATACCCTTTATGACTTCCATAAATAACATTGATGGCAAATAAAGTGTTGGGGAAGATGTGAATCTAAAAATGGTGCTTTGTCTGCGTTAATTACGCTGGCGACATCTGGGTGGCTTTTTGTTAAGTGTCCAAAGATTTCATCGACCTGTGGACATAAAAAAAAATTATCCCCATAATCTCCGCTCCTCTTATACAAAAACTACAGATTAAAGTAACGAGAAAGGACTATAATTATTATCTTTAATACTCCCTTACAATCACTTGTTATATGAAAACGTACAGATTGTGAAAAAGAAAGCAAAGGGATGATACTACATGTAATTTCTTTACCTTCTGCTTCTCTTTGATGTTTATAATAAAAACTCGTTGTATTTTTTACTGAAGTCACATTTGAATTTCAAATGACAATTTGCATAAAAAGGCTATAAGATATTGTCCAAGACTCTTTTTTTCCATTCAAAAAATTGAATATAAATTCATCAATACTCATTGCTTTTTTTTTTTCAAGAAACTGTCAGTTGTTATTTTCCATAAACGCTCAACCTATTTACAATGTTTTGATGCACAAAAGATGTTATTTTATGAAAATTGAATTCCAATTCATCAACGGAGGCTATCTCTTGACCTTCTATCCACAGCAGATGCTCAGATCATTTATTCGAAGTAAATTTCTTGGAAGCAATTAATATGAAGGGGCTGTGTATATTAGGTAATTGAATTGATCAAAGATCAAATAAATTCATAGAAATAAATAAATAGACAAACAGAATCGAACAGAACACACTTTTCCAGTTGAAAGATTTAGTTTTCGATTCGAAACCATAGGTATGAGTCAGGAATCTGAGGTTAATGTGCCAAGCATTATTTCAGGAGTTTGGACACAATTTATGCACAAAATTTATTCAACGTTTAACTAAAAACAGAATGACACGTTTATATTGCAGCATTATTTTCTCAATTAAAGATTCCTGATTCAAATCTACATTTTACACCTCTAAACAATATTTTATGCCTTAAAAGTAATTTGTATAACATTTTAGGATATATGCATAGGTTGTTTAAGTTGAAAAAATATAATTAAAGTATGTAATAAAAAGAAAATAACTTTTTCGATGAAAATAGTAAGTTCGTCGAGCAAAGCGATAGAAGTTTTCATGATCACCGTAGTTCACAAAATTTTTTCGAAACCTTACTTTTACTAGATATTATCTGGCGACCGTTTCAAAAGTACAACATTTTTGCGAAACCTTTCTTTTGTTATTTATAAGCCAGGAAAATTCTCATTTATTTTGGTAACCGTTGTATATGGTCTTTAATATCAATGTACGAAAGAATGGAATTTTCGCAAGCAATCTCGCAATATTTCAAGAAAATAAAGTTTTCGAGTATAAAAAATGATTTACAGTATCCTTTATCAAAAACCCCTATGACCACGCAAGTCTCTTCTGACGAAAATAACTGAAACTTATCGTATAAATACCATAACTTTAGCTGCGAATTAAGCAGAAATTTTGCTATAGAATTACTTTAAAATAAGTCTTTACCGACTTTTCCACTTAATCTCGATCACAAATTAAAATCTAGGTAACAATAAGTACTGTATAGCATGATGTAATTTGTTGAATAATAATGTGTTATCAATGATAGTATTCAAAAAAAGAAAAATAAATAAGTGTTAATTATTGATTTATTTTTTTGTATTTAATCCCCAACCCCTCTAGGATGTATGCATTTTAGTTTCAATTCAGAGCGAAATGCTCTTTTGTATTTGAAATATTGCATAACCATATTTTCTTTCAATCGATGGAGAAAAATTGATACATGAAGTGACAATCTTGCAATATGATCCATTATTTTGTCCCAGATATCATTCAGAGATGACAAGAAGATGTCTTTGTGCGCCAAAAAAAAAAACAAAACAAAACAAAAAACAAAACAAAAAAAAAAAAACGCTGAAAATTCCATATTAAAGTGTTGGATTTCTGTCGTCTGCGCTTATCCATAATCCAAAGAAAGAAAAAAAAAACCTAAAATGTACTTATAATCATGGTGGTAGAGTTGTGTGTAATATATATATATATATATATATATATATATATATATATATATATATATATATATATATATATATATATATATATATATATATATATATATATATATATATATATATATATATTATACATGTACTACCCTTTTTAATTTTTTTCGCCAATCGAAATTTTGATACTAGATTATGCCATTATTATTAGATATTTTTAATAGTGCCAATGTTTACTTTTTGCCATAGGCCTGGGTATTTGGGAATTTTGCAATGATACACAAATTACAATGCACCATTGTACAACCAACACATTTTCAGATCGACATTGCATAGGTGAGGAAGAGCGATATCTTTCTGCGATGGTGATTAAAAAAACCATTATATACTATAGTATACTTATACTTGCAGTAAAGAGGTCCAAACAGTTGCCTGGTGGCTTAACTAGCACTACAGCACTAAAAACTCTCTGAAGAGCTTTTATTTGGACGTATTGGCCTTTGGTGCCCGACAAAAAGGCCGAAGGAGGCAATCTAAGCGCCATTTCTGCGCTTCCGTGCATCAAATACACGCACCGTTTATTATTTGATGTAAATGATATGAATGCACTTTAACACATGCAACAATTCATGGAAGCTATAATGATGGTCCGACTTATGTCATTGGCAGGCATTGTGTTCTTTCGTCTTGCATCATCACTACTTGCCATCAGCTTTACCGTTTCATCGTCATTGTCATATAACATGCATTTTTTCTTCCATCATTCAATGTTTCGAATGCTTAATATTTATGCATCATGATTCTGTCATTAACCATTTTCGAATCAATTGATAAGTTTCAAAACGAAAATTAATATTATGACAGTGATATTTTTTTTAACTTCAGTGTAGTTAGAGGTCCCGAGGAACTGCTATGAACACAGTCCAAATTCTCACTGCGGCAGTGTGGATATCCGCCCTAGTATCTGTAAAAGGTATGTCGAAATCACTACGATATGCAGACAAATACTCTAGTAGTACAATAAAGCAAGTAAAATACCACATAGAGGGTACTACAATTAATCAAAGTAATTACTATCATACATCAGTCGCCCGCGTGACGCAGTGGTTAGAGCGTTTGCTCTAGAGTCGCGGAGTAAGGAGTTGATCCTACGTCGCAGGTTCGAATCCCACTGTGGGACGTGGAGACCGGTCCTTCGGATAAGACCGTATGAACCGAGGTCCCGTGTCGCAGTAGGTGCTGGCACGAAAAAGATCCCTCACTGCTCAATTATCTCTCTTTTTCTAAGATATCTCTTTGTGAAAATAACATCTTATCAGGAATATGATACAATATTTTTCAGGAAAAAGAGATAGGTCTTTCTTCAGAGATAAGTTGTTTTGTTGATATATAATAAAATATCTTGTCTCCCAGTTGATTCAATTCGAGCGTGTTCTACGTACGAACAATTCGATACGCAAGAGCGTGTTCTACGTACTAACAATTAATCAAACGATTGAGGCAAGCTATTGATAAATAAGTTGGATGAAATATGGAGATATGGAGATAACGATCGAACAGTATTCAAGCTCAAAGTCCATTAAAACAATACAAATCGGGAGCAAGGCGAACACGAACCTCCAAAAACATCAGAGGTGGGATAAGTTGCCATGGAGGAGTGAGCATCCCCTGCCGATCCGTCACACACGCCGTGTGTTCCTTGTTATTATCGGGAAATAACCGGAAAATTCGTCGACAATTCAGTGTGTAAATAACAATTAACAATTAATATAAAAAATGTCAGTCAGCATTGGACTTAATATTAGATTATATTTGCTGACAAGGTCATTGTATCGACCATAGAGCTTACGAAATGATGACTTTAAGCGAGACTGTTGAAATTTTTGCTTCATCAACTCTTGTTTGTCAATAAGTTACCTCGTTTTAGAAATTGTTCATACGTAGAGCATGTTCTTTCGTATCGGATCAACTGAGAGGTATAAACCCGTATGCAGGTGATGAAGGTATATTGCTGCATAAGTAAGGGAAGTTGACGATTGAAAAGTTAAAGTCATCACGTTTATCATAAAGCTTTGTTGTTAGATTACCATTATCATCTTTTTTACAAGAATATCTACAGTCTCGTTTAAAGTCAACATTTTGCCAATTCTGTGGTCGATACAATGAACGTGTTGGCAAATACAATCTATCGTTAAGTCGAAAGTTGACTGACGTTTTTCATACTAATTGATAGGCCATTATTTTCACACAGAATTGTCTACGGATTTTTCCGTTTACCCGATAATGACAAGGAGCACATTCCTCCGTAGGACCTGGTCACACCTCTGATGCTTTTAGAGGTCCGTGTTTGCTCTGCTCACAATTTGTATTGTTTCAATGGACTTTTGAGCTTGATTACTGTTCGTTATCTTCATATTTAATTGAAATAATTTGTTTATGATTTCTAATTCATGTAAATTATTAAACAATCATAGAAGAAAAGCAATGCTAATTTCTATTGTACAAGAGTATTTCTGACTTCTTTCAAATGTGAATATTAGTTAAAGAAACAGCTATGATTCTATAGGCGTAGTTTTACTAGTATTACTTCTGTATACCCACTAACAACAAACTGGTTGTGGTTATGTTTGTATAAAGGGATGTCTACATGGCACGTCAAATTCACAAAAATGAGCTATTAAATGTATTTTAACAGTTGATAAACTAAGTTTATCAATTGTAAACTATAGTTAATGATTTATTTACATTAGTTTTAACTGCAAAACTATATTTAATGCTTGTAAACTTTAGTTTAAAAATGCAAACGAAGTTTATCTGTCTGCGAATGAAAGTTGAAGTTAGTTTTTGTTCATAAATGTAAATATAAATTTTCATTTATACATTATAATCAACTTTTTTAACCATAGTTTGGAGTTGTTAGTCACTTTCACTAATTTTGAAACTATATTCATCAGATAAAGTACTGTATGTTTTACATTTGTAATCAACAGTAATTCAAAATACATGTATATTATATTAGATAAACCATGTTTAGCACTTGTAAATATAATTGTTTTCCTTGTGAGGTATAGTTTAAACTTGTGAAATATAGAATGAGGCTTAAACTATGGTTTAGAGATATGTTAAAATAGGTTAACATCTTTAACTATAATTTCTGTTTCGTAAACTATAGTTTACATTTTACAAGTTTAGTTTCTATGCTAAGCTACGAGATTTTTGTGAATTTGAAATAGATGTCCTCTTTGACGTGGTGTATCACGTTCTCATACTTTTTTGTTGTTCCTATTCAAAACTTTTGGTAGTCTTATTCTAAAACCTATTCGATAAAGTGTCATTCCTATTCGATAAGTTGTTATTCTAAATGCGAAAAAAATGTGATTTCTATTCGACAATTCATCATTTCTATTCGAAAACATGTGATTCTTATTCGATAATTTTGTCACATCTATTCGATAAAATATTTTTCCTATTAGAAAACATGTGATTCCTATTCGATAATTTGGTCATTCCTATTCAATCATTTTTTTCATTCTTATTCGATAATTAAAAGATTTATATTCGATAAACATGCTATATCTATTGAAAAACATATCATCTTGTTATTCTTACTCGATAAATTGATAATTATTTTTATGCGATTTTTTTCTTATCTTATTCAATAATTGCATTCTGGGTAATATGAACTGAAGATTATCGAATAGGAATCGTATGTTTTCGAATAGGATTGATATGTTTTCGGATAGGAATAACAAGTTTGTTGCATATAAATCACATAATTATTAAATAAGAATGACAAGATTATCAAATAGGAAAGACAAAATTATCGGATAGGAAACACATGTTTAAGAATATAAATGATATTTTAATTTTGGAATAGGAATCATACTTCTTTCAATAGGAATAAAAATTATCGAATAGGAATCGCATTTTTATCATGCCCCGTATCAAAGATTCGGGGGTGTATAGTTTTTGCCCTGTCCGTCTGTCTGTCTGAATGTTTGTCTGTTTGTCTGAAAAACTTTAACCTTGCCCATAACTTTTGATTGGTTGGAGCTACGGCTTCAATTGTATTCCATGTATTCCATGTGACAAGACCTTTCTTTGGGTTTCACCATATTTGACCTTTTGACCCTGACCTTGGAGTTTGACCCAGTTTTGAAAAATTTTTACCAAACTTTAACCTTGACCATAACTTTTGAACAATAAGGGCTAGGGCTTTTACGCTTCACGTATGTAATCCTTGTGACAGGACCTTCCTTTGAATACCAACAACTTTGACCTTTTGACCTTGACCTAGGAATTTGACCTACTTATGAAAAACTTTAACCTTGGCCATAACTTTTGAACGGTTGGTGCTAGGGCTTTCATTCTTCACATTTATAATCCTTGTGACAAGACCTTCCTTTGGATACCAACAACTTTGACCCTTTGACCTTGACCTCGGAGTTTGACCTACTTTTGGAAAACTTTAACCTTGGCCATAACTTTTAAACGGTTGGTGCTAGAGCTTTCATTCTTCACATATGTAATCCTTGTGACAAGACCTTTCTTCGGACAAAATTAATTTTGACCATTTGACCTTGATGTTTGACATACTTTTTAAAAACTTTAACCTTTTCCATATCTATTCAATGGTTGCTGCTAGGGCTTTCATATTTCACAGGTCTATTTCTCGAGACAAGGCCTTACTTTGGGTACCAACATGTTTGATTTGCATTTGAGAAGGTTTAACCTTTCCTGTAAGTTGCCATTCGGGGGCTTCAGTGTTTCACAAACACATCTTGTTTCGAATAGGAATAACAATCGGATAGGAATCACATTTTATCGAATAGGAATGATATGTTTTAGAATAATAAATTCTTAATATAAGAATAACAAAACAGTGTAATAATGCAGCGTTTTACACGCCATAGAAATAAAATTGTTTTCCCTATCGTTCAAAACTTTAAATTCCTAGCTGGAAATAAAAGATTTTAATGTAAACATTTGAATTTTCATTAACGTTTTTGATATTTACTTTCTTTAGTGAACAAGATGTGTTTGTGAAACACCGATGCCCCGTATGGCAACTTATAGTAAAGGTGAAACTTTTTCAAATGCGAATCAAATATGTTGCATGGTACTCAAAGTAAGGTCTTGTTTCGAGGAATAAACCTGTGAAATACGAAAGCCCTAGCAGCAACCATTGAATAGATATGGAAAAGGTTAAAGTTTTTTCAAAAGTATGTCAAACATCAAGGTCAAGGTCAAATGGTCAAAATTAATGGTGCCCAAGGAAAGGCCTTCTCCCAAGAAATGCACAGGTGAAATACGAAAGCCGAAGCACCAATCGTTCAATAGTTATGACCAAGGTTAAAGTTTTCCAAAAGTAGGTCAAACTCTAAGGTCAGGGGGTCAAAGTTGTTGGTATCCAAAGAAAAGCCTCTTCACAAGGATTACATGTGTGAAGTATGAAAACCCTAGCACCAACCGTTCAAAAGTTATGACCAAGGTTAAAGATGTCCAAAAGTAGGTCAAACTCTAAGGGTCAAAGTTGTTGGTATCCAAAAGAAAGGTCTTGTCACAAGGATTATACATGAGAAGTATGAAAGCCCTAGCACCAACCGTTCAAAAGTTATGGCCAAAGATAAAGTTGTCCAAAACTAGGTCAAACTCCGAGGTAAAGGTCAAAGGGCCAAAGTTGTTGGTATCCTAAGGAAGGTCTTGTAACAAGGATTACACATGTGAAATATGAAAGCCCTAGCACCAATTGTTCAAAAGTTATAGCCAAGGTTAAAGTTTTCTAGTCGCCCGCGTGGCGCAGTGGTTAGAGCGTCTGCTCTAGAGTCGCGAGGTAAGGAGTTGATCCTTCATCGCGGGTTCGAATCCCACTGTGGGACGTGGAGACCGGTCCTTCGGATGAGACCGTATAAACCGAGGTCCCGTGTCGCAGTAGGTGTTGGCACGAAAAAGACCCCTCACTGCTCAATGGCCGTAAGTGCCGAGCATAGGACAAAATTTGCAGCTCTACACCGGTAAGTGATGGCGTCTCCATATGAGTGAAAAATTCTCGAGAGGGACGTTAAACAACATACAAACAAACAAAAAAGTTTTACAAAAGTAGGTCAAACTCCAAGGTCAAAGGGTTAAAGTTGTTGGTATCCAAAGGAAGGTCTTGTCACAAGGATTACACATATGAAGAATGAAAGCCATAGCACCAACCGTTCAAAAGTTATGGCCAAGGTTAAAGTGTTTCAAAAGTAGGTCAAATTCTAAGGTCAAAGTTGTTGGTATCCAAAAGAAAGGTCTTGTCACAAGGATTACACGTGTTAAGTATGAAAGCCCTAGCACCAACCGTTCAAAAGTTATGGCCAAGGATAAAGTTGCCCAAAAGTAGGTCAAACTCCGAGGTCAAGGTCAAAAGGTCAAAGTTGTTGGTATCCAAAGGAAGGTCTTGTCACAAGGATTACACATGTTAAGTATGAAAGCCCTAGCACCAATTGTTTAAAAGTTATGGCCAAGGTTAAAGTTTGGTAAAATTTTGCTAAACTGGGTCAAACTCCAGGGTCAAGGTCAAAAGGTCAAATGTCACAAAGACAAAGAAAGGTCTTGTCACAAGAAATACACATGTAAATATGAAAGCCGTAGCTCCAACCAATCAGAAGTTATGAGCAAGGTTTAAGTTTTTGCGGACAAACAGACAAACAGCTAAACAGAGAGACAGACAGACGGACAGGGCAAAAACTCTATACTCTCGAATCTTCGATACGGGGGCATAAAAACAAATTTGTATGTAATCTGCCCGTGAGAACTAATGAGCATAGTTTTGACTTTTATATACTTTGTGTAGTTTGCAAAACTTTCTTGTATAGTACCGGTATGTACATGTGTAAGACTTGTAATTTTATTGATTTATCAAAACATTTTTATGCCCTCGTATCGAAGATTCGGTGGTATATAGTTTTTGCCCTGTCCGTCCGTCTGTCTGTCTGTTTGTCCGCAAAAACTTTAACATTGCCCATAACTTTTGATTGGCTGAAGCTATGGCTTTCATATTTCACATGTGTATTTCTTGTGACAAGACAATCATATTTGACCTTTTGACCTTGGAGTTTGACCCAGTTTTGCAAAATTTTACCGAACTTTAACCTTGGCTATAACTTTTGATCGGTTGGTGCTAGGGCTTTCATACTTCACATATGTAATCCTTGTGACAAGACCTTCCTTTGGATACCAACAACTTTGACCCTTTGACCTTGGAGTTTGACCTATTTTTTAAAAAACTTTAAACCTTGGCTATAACTTTTGAACGATTTGTGCTACGGCTTTCATATTTTACATGTGTATTTCTTGTGAGAAGGCCTTTCCTTGGACACCATTAATTCTGACCATTCGACCTTGACCTTGATGTTTGACTTACTTTTGAAAAACTTTAACCTTTTCCGTATCTTTCAATGGTTGCTGATAGGACTTTCATATTTCACAGGTATATTTCTGGGGACAAGACCTTTCTTTGGGTACCAACATATTTGATTTGCATTTGAGAAAGTTTAACCTTTACTATAAGTTGCCATACTGGGCATCAGTGTTTCACAAACATATCTTGGTTTTTTGTTTTTTTTTTTTTTTTTTTTTTTTTTTTTTTTTTTTGGTGTAACATTTCATTTCATTATTAAGTTCTCACTTGTTGCTTTGGTAGAAAACTGGATTGATATGTTTCTTAATCTCTATGGTGCACATTTTACGCTTGTTACTCATGTGGAAGTGAAACTGTCAATAAAGTAGTGTGTTAAAAGTACGTGCATTTTTTGATAAAAATACGCTGCATAAAATTTAGTATTTTTGTTTGCTAAAAGTAGCATTACGTGCAGCTTTTTCAATTCATTATGATACCTATTATCTTTAGAAGCTGCTTATAAAACATCTACTTTTTAATTAGATGATTTTTTTTTTTTGAAAAAGAAGATTTATAGTTCGTATGAAGCTTCTTGGAAAGAAGAGGGGGGGGGGGTCTTACATAGAGTGCAAAAATCCCTCCTATTTTACCAAGAAACTGTTGATTTGTTTTTTCATAAAATCATTGAACCTCCCATAGTTTTTACGAACATGACAAATGTATGGAGCTCCAAATTAACATAAACTCAAATAATTGACTATATCTTAATTTTTTTTTTTTTTTAATATCTTAATTGTCAAAAAATTTTGATGCTCATAACAATTCAGTTAAAGATCTATTGAGTATTCAAATAATTAATAATATCGAGTTCTAAAATAATTGCACACGTTGATTCAATTGTTAAGAGCTTAAATTAAAAAAAAAGAATTGATGTGTGCAAGTTTTGATTTGTTGCTCTCTTCAAATGAATCAATAAATTCAACAATTGATGCGCGTAAAAATTCAATTATATAGAGAAAAAAATATTGCGAGAAAGTTATTTGGTATGCATTAAATCTTCATCTTTGTAAAATAATCAAAGAACATCTTGAATTGAAGAGATCGATCAACAATTACATTTAATTTACACCGCAAGATGTAGATTAATTTTAATAGCGAGCAATAATTCCAAACTCGTATACAATAGATAGTTTTCAGTAGGCCCATTCCTTCATTATTCAACCAACTTTAACTTTTTATACTGGCCATTGTTGGGTAGGAAGCATTGTTTTTCTGAAAAATATACATTTGTTAAAGCCTCCTTTATTTCATCATTTTTATTCTATAAAGATCTTTCCCCAAATATTTCTGCTACACCCTCTTAGATTTGGTAAGACAAAGAGGAAAAATTACCAGGTTGACCACCAAGATGGCGGCCAAGGGAAATAACTCGGAGAGAAAATACGTCATATGAAAACTATCTATTCAATGTCACGCCACGTATGTTTACTCCGAACAAGTAGCATACAATTTTGTGACAAAAATACAAAAATGATGAAACAGTATTAAAAAAAATAAATAAAAAAAAAACAACAACAACAACAAACAAACAAACAAAACAAAACAAAAAAAGGAATCTCTACTGGTGAGCTCTCTATTTATGTAGCAATATACCTTATCACATGCATATGGAGTTTATGTCTCCCAGTTGATTCGATACGCAACAGCATGCTATAGGCCTACATACATGTACGAACAATTTCTAACACGAGATAAGCCATTGCCAAATAAGTTGATAATGCAAGGAATACTGTCAACATGCAGTCCCGTTTAAAGTCAACATTTCGCAAATTCTATGGTCAATACAATGACCTTGTTAGCAAATACAATCGACGTTTTTCATAAAAATGTTTGGCCATTATTTTCATACTGAATTGTCCAGATTTCTGGTCGCCGGGGCGCGCAGTGGCTAGAGCGTTTGCTCTAGAGTCGTGGAATAAGGAGTTTATCCTTGCGTCGTGGGTTCGAATCCCACTGCGGACGTGGTGACCGTTCCTTCGGGTGAGACAGTATAAACTGAGGTCCCGTGTCGCAGTAGGAGATCCCTCTCTGCTTGAAATGGCCCTGAGTGCCGAGTATAGGTCATGAATTTTCAAACCCTTCACTGGCAAGTGGTTGCGTCTCGATATGAGTGAAACATTCCCGAAAGAGGCATTAAACAAACAAACAAACAGATTTCCGTATTGTTGTCAAGTGTGACGTAACGTCTCTGGGATTTTTAGCTTGACCGAATGAGTCATTGTACGATTTAATATACTTATACGCGCGAAATTCGGATGGGACAATTTTGCAGAAGAAAAAAACAACAGCGTATCTTACTTTGATCAAGGAACTGTTAGGTGTTTATTGACCATACTATAGTAAATTAATTGGTTCAATTAATACAAGTCTTTTAAGTTCATAAATCAGAGTAAACGATTTGCTAACTTGGTATAGATAAACATACATTAAGATAAGATTTATTGATACGAATTTGGGGCCCCTCACTCAGGGCATACAAGTAAAGAATAATATAACAAGAAATTCAATTCATAAATTATATAGCGTTATGTATTTTCAATGTATTTTGAACGAAGGTGTTTGAGGATTAGGCCTACTCTAGTCTGCTAATTTCTACATGCTCTAGTTGCTTATAAATTAAGAAAAAATGTGCAGTATCTGTACTGGATCCTTCATTCTTCGTTTATAAATATGCGTAAAACAATACAGGAAATATCGAGATGATTATTTTTAAAATTGTGTTCTCCTTCTCGGGTCATCAACTTGTTAAATAGTATATTTTTAGCTATTATAAATTATCTTTATATATTAACCACCAGTTCTGTTTTGATATTTAGGTATAACAGTTAATTCAGAAGATGGATGTTCTATAGATAAGTATGTAGTCTGTGATGATAATGCTAATTGTGAGGACACTTCCAATGGGACAGTAACCTGTACGTGTAAGGGAGAGTACCAGGGGGACGGGCTGAAGGGGGACAACCACACGGGCTGCAGACTTCGTAAGGAACAATCTACAATTATATCTAATATATTGTTGTAGATTATTGTAGATTATATTTGATTGTGTCAAGCAACAAAAATTTACTGAACATACTGTACCACAGACACTCGATATTTTAAATCTTTCTCTTCACTGATTAAAAAAAAATCCCCCTGCTATAAAATTATAGTATGGGGATTTTTTAACAATGAAGACATGAAAGAGGTAAGTTTAAAACGTCAAGTGTCTGTGTTCTATGTTAAATGTAATTTGGTAAATGTTTAGGTAGTCGTTGTCTATAAGTGGCATATATGTTAATGCTAAATTACTTGACAATGTGTTTCAGTGTGTTAGAAAAGGGATTATTTATCTATCTAGATTATTTGATTAGCATACAAATGCATTTTACTTCTGTCATATAATAGAAAGTCACAACTCCTTTAAATTTAACTGCATTTAATATAAAAGACCCAATTGTTTTTAATGACAGCGGGTGACCACCATCCTTGCACAAATGAAACAGAGGCAGAGGAATGTCATTCCTATGCTGTCTGTTCCCCTGGTGGATACTGCGAGTGCAAATCTGGATACAAAGGCGATGGAAAGAATGATTGTAAAGGTAGGACATATATAAATGTATATGAATATATTTATATTTTACATTTTTTTCTTTAAGAACTGTGTCTAAAAAAATACATTGTACTTTATATTTGTGTGTATGGCACCTCAATATTGAGAGATTATTAAAACTGTTCATTTAATGTGAATATTAAGCCCATTTCAAAACATATGCTATTGTAACAATTTGATGTCTCACATATTATATTGTTTCCCAACAATTTGGAAATACATGTACATGTATTATGGTTTACTGATAATTTCCTTTTTTACCTAGATATTGATGAATGTGCTACGCTTCATCCGTGTCACGTTAATGCAAACTGTCAGAACCAGTTAGGGACATTTCAGTGTGTTTGTAAGGCAGGTTACAGGGGAGATGGTTTTAATTGTTCATGTAAGATTTACTTTCTCAGAGTCATTTTTCTACACAGTTTTGTCTGAAATTAATATGTCAGTAGAAAGTTTTATGAACATAAAACATTATTCAAAAAAAATTCCTGTCAGATACATGTAATTTAATAAAGATGACCATGCAAGCACTGTTAATTGTTCATTTTCAAAGATTGTCAGATTTTCTTTGGAATTCCAGATTTGAACTCCGTATGATTTCCTCTTCCACAAATACTTTTTGAGGCTTAAATAATGAGACAAGTCCTTGTTGATATAATATGTGTACAAATGAAATTTACAGTGTTTATTATTATTCTGTGAAAAATCTCAATGTTTATCAATTATCATTAGTTGGTGAGAAAAATTCATTATTTTGCAGTATTTGAAATATATATCATACAATAAACAATAAGTAAGAACTGGAGCTGTTTTCCATGGTGAATTTGTCAGTTGATGTTGTTTGTTTTAGTTTATTGTAAACAAAATGAAGACTGCCACAATGATGCTGTGTGTGTTGACAATGAGTGTGTTTGCAAAGGAGGTTACTCTGGGAATGGAACACACTGTACAGGTACAGATCAAAGATTTTATAACATAGTGAAATGTGAAACTTACAAAGTTTAAAAAATGATGAAAGGACTATATTCAGCAATGACCGATATCTGCCCCCACCCCCCAGATCAAACTTTGATGGAGAAATCTATAATTATGTCCTAAACAAGGGAAGTATGTGCAGACTTGAAAGCATTACTTATTTTCATCAGCCGTGATGTCATGTTTTAAATATGACATTAAAAAGATGACGTAAATTCAATTTTTTTTATGATTTTGAGAGAAAAAAGTGTATTTTACCTAGGTATTTTGATTACAAGTCAAGGAGCGCAGGTCTGCTCCAGCTCTATTATTTTGGAGCAAGCTTGTGCTCAGCAAATTCTATTATATACTCAAAATTGAACAAATATTGCCCATTTTGTTCTTAATCTTGAAAATAACGGAAAATTCAAATAGTTTGTGACGTCACAGAAACAAGCATTGATGAGAGACTACTCCCAAACTATAATATTTTTGTCAATTAAGGATTTTCATACAATATACAGTGGACCCTCAGATATCCGGATGCCAGATATCCGGATGCTTCAGTTTCCGGACGATTTTTAATGGGAACGAAATTTTTTAACGTTATTTTGTCTCGTTTGACCGGAATTCCGCGTTCCATATCCGGACAGTCTTTTTTCACCACAAAATGAATTTTTCCTTATATTTTGGTTCATTTATCCGGACGATAATTTTTTAAATGGTCTGTCAAGTCTGCTCAAATTTCTTGATCTGGGTGTTAATTGTTGTAAAAACACTGGTCTGGCTATTTGTTTTTAAAGATGATCACCTGCGACCTGTTATCAATGGCTTGCGGCAAGGTTAATTGTAGGTCGATAGGTACGCACAAAATTCTCGCTTCTCTAACATGGTTTTGATACGTATTAAGGAAAATAATTTTATAAGTCTAGGAAAAAAATTTTCCTAGTCGGCAAATATATTTCTTTTACTGTTAGAATACAGTCGTAACATAGTTTTATGTATTTATAGACATGGCATCGGAGTTTTTTATGCACAGTATTTTGTGCGCGAAACGCATTCTATGATTTGATGACATTTATAAAATCACTTTCAAAATTACACAATCGTTAATACGATCTCTCTTTGGATGATTAGATTAGCGTTCGTATACATATGCAGATTATGTCACATTTAGCATTGTTGGGCGTTCATATTAAATAAGACTCTACCGACAGTACGGTATACCGACATGGCTACTAGGAGAAGTCGATTCATTAGACACTGGGAAGTAGAAATAATTAATCTGACCATATAAACACGTTTTTTTTTTTCCAATGACACATGTATTTTTTTAATTGTTTAAACAAGTATTGAGTAGTACTAACTTATATTAAAGTATTTAAACAATAAAACATGTTGATAAAAAGCAACATTCTTTCCTTTTGAAATGGTATGAAAGGCCATATAACTAAAATCAAGGCAATTCAGGTATCCGGACGCTTCACATATCCGGACAAATTAACTGGGAACCAAAGCGTCCGGATAAATGAGGCTCCATTGTATACAATTGTTGACATATCTAGAGATTTTCAAAATTTGCTTTTTATGGGGGCAAAAATATGCTTTTACCACATATAGTTCTTTAAATGACAATGGTAGTAATTTACTGTAGGTGCAACTAAAATAAATATTCATACATGTATAAACAGATGTGACTTGAAATAGAAATCCTTTTGTAAAACGTTTGATAATTTTATTATTCTCAATCAAAGTGAGATTTATCCACAGGCATAAGTATACCTGTAAAATTTGAAAAAGTACTCATTATGGCAATATGCAGTCATTTAGTGGCCTTATCTCTTTCAATTATGAGGTCCAAACTTGGATGATCATTTACATATTTTTGGTAATACAATGTACATGTATTTGATAAGTTAAAACAGCTGGATATTTTGTATATCTTAATCATTTAAATTATTTATAATATTCCAGATGCTCTGTCATAAAATTAGAGCAAGCATGTTTATATAAGGCTAGTTTACATGGAATAAATGACAAGAATCACTATGAAATGAAGTCAATCCAGCCAAGATTTTCTCGTGTAATTTGCTGTTCCAATTCAAATAACATATCAAATACTTTTGCACACAGAGAAACATGGAATTTAATTAATATTGTAGATATTAATGAATGCGACTTAAAAACCTACACCTGTGACCCAAATGCAGACTGTGAAAATATAGTAGGCAGTTATTTTTGTGTGTGTAAGCCAGGGTATACTGGTAATGGAAAAACTTGTACAGGTGAGTCAGGATATATAAGAAAAATATTATAGACATCTACTTCTAAATCAAAGGAAAAGGGAAAAAAAAACTCAGGTGATTGTTCAGTAAATATTATACTTTTACCTCTAAATCAATTATGGAAACAATCTATATATGAAAGTCTCCTTAAAACTTCTAATGAAAATAGTAGAAAAAATTTCTTGATTTGTGCAGTTTTGATTATTGCAGGGTGAATATGGGGTGAGAAAAGATAATACGACACTGAAATATTTATACCACACACAAATTGTATGTGTACTTTAACAATGATAAATGTATTTGCAGTATTGCCTAAGAACTGTGATGAAATTTTACAAAAAGATAAAAATTCCAAGGATGGTGTGTATACAATAGATGCAGATGGTACTGGCCCTTTGTTAGAGTTTCAGGTACATGTTTATTGTACATTAACTGTCACTCAGTGCAGATGTAATTACATTGTCAGAATAATGCTATTAGACTTCATCCTAATATTGGATCTTTACAAATTTTCTACAATATGTGAGATTTCCTATTTTAGGTTTACTGTGATATGCGGCCTGATATTGGAATCACCATCATGAACACCACCACCCCCACCACCGTAATTACTCAAGGTCAGCCAGAGGTCAACATTACCTACAATGCCACACTGCCACAGATCACCAAGGTCACAGAGATCTCTAATTTCTGCTATCAATACATGGGGTAAGACATTTCAGAATATGCATGTAACTTAAGTAGAACATATTGTATGTATATGCTTTGTATACTGTCTGTATTATGCTTTGCTATTGCTGTGTTTTGATTTATATATGTAGATGTATATAAAGGTTGCATTTGTGAAATGAAAGGGTTTCTGATTCTTCTTGGGAAAATTCAAAGCACAAATGATAGAAAAAAGCATTGAGTAAAGTAAATATCTAAGCATAAAGTTTATTAGAATATTTGCTTTCACAGTATCTGAAACCCGATATAAGTGTTACACTAACATAAATAATTAACATAAGACTGATAATGAATTATAGAGGTAATCTGAGCTATCTATTGACTCCTCAACACGATGTTGCATATAGCTTTGTCACAGGTGTTGGTTGCATCATTTCATAATTTGATAGTATGATCAATTGTCAGTTATCTAAGGGATGGAAGTGTTGATAAACTAGCATTTTAACAAATAGCTAAATTGATTTATAAAAATTTTGTAAAAAATTCAAGTCTCATGGAAACATTTTAATATTGTGTTTTCCATACAGAACAACATGCAGAAACCAAGCCAAAACACTGGATGGTAATGATTACTGGGTAGATGGTAAGGGAAACCAGCACAAAACATGGGGTGGAGCAATTTTTGAGGGCAAGGTTAGAAGCTATTTATAGCACATACACTACATCATAGAATAAACCAAGACAATGCTTCACTACATTTAATTCAGTATTTTTGGCACATTTATCATTGAATAAAACAAGACAATGCTGTGCTACATTCTGTTCAGTATTATAAAATCTCATTACTTATGTTAGAATGTTTAATTTTACTAGTGTTCATGTGGGCAGCTGCGTTATTGTGAAACAAGACAAGCCAACTGTAACTGCGATGGCACACGATCTGGAGCTAAGGACGAAGGGAAAATTTTGGACAAGAATCAGCTACCCATACAGACAGTAAGGTTTGGTCTGGATACCTCATCCCAGAAAATGGATGTAGAGATTGGGAATGTGGTGTGTGGACCCAAACCATTTGGTAAATCAGTAAATTCATACATAATTAAAATCAATTCTTGTCTTATCCAGAAAAATTGCTTTCGGTGTTAGATGTAAGAAAGTTTGCCTTTAAGAGTTCCAAGAATACATATCTAATATACATGTACAATGAATTACATGTATAATGATATAGGGAATAGGAAATGTAAATTGTTTCTCTTAAATTACATTAATTACAAATTTACAAGCATGCATTCACTTTATATTAGACTGTACTTTTTAACAAAAGTCCAGGGCATTTACAATGTACACAACAGTACTGACTTTGTTTACTTTTTCAGACTTCCCAATAGACTGTGATGATGCCAAATTTAACAATCTGTATAAAGTGAAAAAAGATGGAGCTCAGATTATTGATATTGATGGCCCTGATGGTCCCACAAATCCAGTCCTTGTCCACTGTGACATGGAGTCCTACCCACATGTGGGGATCACAGTTATTCCCCATGATAAGTAAGAAAAATAATTCTTAATTTCATACAGATATTTTGTTGATTTTTAATCAGCTATCATCTTTTAAACATTTTTTGACTTCATTCTTTCTTTTCACAGTCTGAAATTTTACTGTCATAGAAATAATGAAGCATTGAAGTCAGATTTAACAGGTGTTCATATCATGACTTGCTTTAGCAATGGATGTTGAAATTACCTGTACACGTTCACATGTAAATCCTCTGTAAAATTTTATCTAGCAGTATCCATTATGGAATCTTAAGGTCAAAATCACAGAGTTAACCATCCATGTATTTACTTTTTTGGTCTATATCCATGTGAAATGATCTTCAAGTTTCAGGATCTTTGTTCTGCAGTTTTAATTTAATCATTTAATTAATCATGATTAATGTGAGTAACAGAAGGAGAGCAACAATATTTTAAAAAGACAATATTTGTTTATTTAAAAAACAAATACATGTACAAGTGCAGGTTTTAATATGATTTTTGGTGAAAAGGAATACAATTTACATGTAAGCTAATTAAGTTCTAAAAATTGTATATATGATTAAAGATTTGTACTTGTAGCTATGACCCAGTGACACCTACCACCCCTGGACAACACACCCTGACCTATGTTATAGACAAACCTTCCATCCTGAAGATTATAGAGGAATCACCATTCTGTAGACAGGATGTGGAATATTCCTGCACTGTATGTAGCTTATATGTACATGTAGTTATCCAAGTTGAGGTTCTAGTAAACGAAAACTCAATTTGGGAAAACTTTATATCTTATCCTTGGGTGTAATTATTTCATGTTGATAAGAAAATTTTTACCAATTCATTTCAAAATAACTGTATCGGTACATTATTCTATACACATTAGGCCTAAGAAAAAAGTATGTTTGTTTACTATTACATGCAAAGTTAAAGTAGGATTGGTAGGTAGGAGTTTATTTTTTAATTTTTTAAAAAAAAAACAAAAGGCATAAAATTGTAATACAAATTTTAGTGAAGCTCACTTTGTCTTTCCACAAAATCTTGTTTTATGATATATACCTGACAGTTTTTACAAAGTGGTATAAAAACAGCTTTATATTTTTTCTTCATGTTGCACGGATGTCCTTCTGTGGCTTACCTTTTTATATGAATAGTATTTTTTCAAGACAGGTGACCAAATTTTTGGCGCATGAATTTAGGATTGGTCTGGTAATCATAAACATTTTTCAGTTAACAAACAAGTTTAAGTTAACAAACTTATCTTTTTTTCTTAGGCCTTATGTATTATGTATTTAGCATGTTAAATGTTAATTCATTAATGGTTTAGTTAACAAGAACTTTGATACAAAAAATGTAAAATTGTTTCATTGATATATAAATCTTATATTAAATATAAATGTATATACTGTAAATATTAAATTGACCTGGTGGCATACATGGAAGTATCTATAAATATGGAGACCGGTATATACAGTAGTAGGATGATATACTTTATCCTACCTAGGATTCCCGACTGATGAATGGTGGGGACAAGAAGGGCTATTTTACTGACATTAATGGGGTGGTGAAGGACTACTGGCCTGGTGGAATGGGAATAGCAGGAATGTGTGGATGTGGTCTAACCAAGTCTTGTGCCGAACCAGACAAAAATGTAAGTGATAAATAACTATGTTTTATAAAAAATAAAGAATGGTATGATCTTAAAAAAAGCCAAAGAAAACTTGTACATTTAGTATATTTTGTATGTTAAAAGAGGATTATTTTGAATGATTCGTATTAAAAATTAGCTACTCACATAATGCACTTTTTTTGTGAAGTGTAATTGTGACACAGTGGATGGAACACCTAGGAAAGACATTGGTGTGGTCAGCAATAAAGGGGATCTTCCAATAGGCTCTGTGTCCTTCAGTGACATTGGGGGAAGCAAGTCTGGAGAGTATTATGTGGCAGCCCTCAAGTGTAGTCGACAGGAATTTGGTAACTGATCTTAATTTTAGGCTGATAAATTTTGCACAAATTTCTTTGGTTTTAAATGAAACCTTGGTGGATGTATAACTGTATGTTAGCATTTCACCTAAAATTCAGTACCATAGATTAAATAAATAGAGGATATTCAATGTTTTGTAGATGAATATGGAATTTATTTCAAGAGTGGGACAGGATTTTTTGATATTTTCACGAGTGCAAAGCACGAGTGAAAATATAAAAAATCCTGTCTCACGAGTGAAATAAATTCCATATTCATCTAAAAAACATTGAATTTTCTGTTTATTACATTTTCTTTGATTTTCCTTTTGCATCTGTCTTTTCTTAACACAATGTAATAGGCTTGACGTCATAGTTAAGCGGTTGAGACGTCATAGCTTAGTAGTTGTGTGATTGAAAACATTACATAGCATGGATTTTAGCAACATATTTAGGAAGAAATCTGCAGTTTTAGCTCTATCAAGATGCTTAGTTATCTCTATCTTATGACAGGCCAGAAATTATTTTTTACTTACTTTGATATCCTTTCACACTGTGAGAGAATATCATTTTGGTATCCTTTCACACTGTGAGAGAAAATCACTTTTATTCAATAAATAAATCACAGTATTTCACTGTTGAAAATGTAATAAAGAAAATTAGTTAAATTTGTCACTGACATCTGACAAAGAACCTTCTTATGAACTTTGAGAAAATATTTTGCATGAATAATCATTATTAAATGTTTCATTACTAGGATTTGAGGTCAATTGTCAAGGCTATCTGAATCAAGGTCAAAACTACAGTTATACCTACATGATAGATCCCGATGGTCCAACTCCGAGGGACAAATCAGACCCCACCAATGTGGCCCCTTTCCCAGTGGAGTGTAAGATGCAGGTGGAACCACCACATGCAATAACAATTGTCCATCATGAATCAGAATCAGAGGTAAGGCTAGGAAAAGCCATTCATTTCAAAGATCCATTAGAATTCCTTCATGTAATGGTTTGCATTCTGATAGAAGTCTGGGAACCTGCAGGGGCCTGTTTTACAAAAGAACTTACGACAAAGACCAAAACCTTTAGTTGATTGTAAAATTTTGGAAAATGAATGATTCTGTTTAAAATTACTAGCGTAAAAATATCTTTCTACATCCCTTTCAAAAAGATTAAAAACCATTTTCAATTTAATGTTAATTAGAAAGTTATATTTAGCAGAATTAAATTTTGGTCTTAGTCGTAAGTTCTTTTTTAAAAGGGGCAACTGGTTATTGGAAATTAAAAGTGTTAATTACAATCCTGGTTTAAGAACTGTTGAATGTGTAAATTTGAAATTTCTTACTTGCTTTTAAATACATGTTCCTCAATATACATGTTTGAGTAATTTTTTATAATTTCTCAATGCATCTGTAGGAAAGGTAGAAGAATATATGTCAGTGATGATATAGAATATAATGGACATGATACAGTTAAAAGGTGAAAAATTGATATTTTCATGTCTCTTTTTAAGCAAACTGTAATAGGAGGAAATATAGTTTTCAAGTATCGCTATGCAACTGATGAACAACTTATAAAGCTCAGAGAACGTTCAGTGTATTGCTCACAGTCTGTTGTCCATAAATGTATAAAATCTCCAGTGTTTGCACAAGGTAGGTCTGCTTGTACATGTATATATATATGAAAGTGTAATTCTGATATCACTTTCCTTCTATCCATTCCTTGAGTAATAGCATGTCAAAAAATAAATAAAACAATCATCTTTATTTATAGTTCAAATAAAAATGTCAAGTCATTATCCTGACTGCTATACCCTGGCTTTTCTCTTGTAGATGGTTCCTCCATTGGTTACTGGGAGGATTTGAGTGGCTCAAAGCATCACTACTACACTGGCAAGGAGGGGGAGGGATGTGCTTGTAAACTCTCCCAGAGCTGTACAGGCGGCTCCAATACCAAGTGTAACTGTGACATCAATGATGCCATTCCCAGGTCAGGAAACTTACTGGTTAAAACAGGCAACTTTTCAGATACTCATTTTCTATCAAGGTAGAATATCTGAGACATTTTTAATTTGTTTTTATTTGCTTATTTTCCTTGTAGGAATGACACAGGAACACTTATTAACAAGGAGGATCTTCCAGTTAAGAGCATGTCCTTCAGTCTCAGTGGAACTTCATCTGTTGACATTGGGCCTTTGAAATGCCTTGGTAGAATTTTATTTTTTGCTAATATTTCATATTAAGACATTAAGATTCTTAATATTTTCTGGTATTTTAGCCTATGGTTAGACATGATTTTGATGACCTAAAGAAAATTGACTTCTGACACACATAAAGATCAAAGGATGGAAATGCATATTTTAACACGTTTTCCTGTATACCTATATTGTAGAGGTGTTCCCTACCTGTTCTGATTTGTACTTCTTTATGGCGGGTAAACGCTTGAAGAGTGAGAATATGGTAAAGAGTAACCGTGACTACACGGTGGATCCAGACGGACCTGGAGGGGTGGAGCCTTTTGCTGTCAGCTGTCATTTCCCGATGACCGTTGTCAAAATTGGTCCTGGTGAGTTTCTGATAGGCAACATGTTGTTGTGCCTTATATAAAATGTTCTTAAAGGAATTTAAAGATAAATCTAAAGTTACTGGGGTAGAGGGGCTGTTTTAAAATTCTGATAAAATTGAAATGACAATAATGTGCCCACTTAAAGGACTTATCGCATGTTTCTAAATTATTTTAAATTAAAAGCGTAAAACGTTCATTATGACCACAGTTTATTAATATTGTGTTTTTATTGAGGATAAACCATGGTAATTAATCAATTATTGTCTCAAATGAAAACCCCTGATTTAAAAATCTAAGTTAATTAGATAGCGATCATGTGACCCTGTGACGTCAAAGGCGACAATATCTGATCATCTCTACACGTTAATCTTATGAAAATATACGCGATACATCCTGAATTTTTCTGCGTTGTGGACGACCAAATTGCTTATTTTATTGATATGAAATTGAATATCTAACCTTATATGTTAGAATTGTCAGCAAGAAAAAATTTGTTAACATTGTAAAAATAGCAGCGACGATAGCAAGGGATACACGGCGAAGACGAAGAAACTCGCTATCAGAATGCGATTCAATTCGTCATCTCATCACATGTATTTACATATTTGATTCACAAATTTAATATAATATAACTTTGTTGTTCTTTGTTTTTAACATAATTAGGGCCCCGCAAGGATTTGCGGGTGCCCTATAGTAATCACTCTATCTGTCCGTCTGTCATTCTTCCGTCCACAAATTTTCTGTTTTTTTCTAATAACTTTTTTTAGGGTTGACCAATTAAGTTCAAATTTGGTATGTTGGTTGAATAGGCAGTAAGACATGTTTTGATGCTAAGTTTGGTTCTCTGTGTCATCCGGTTTGGAGCTGGGGTGGTGGGGTATATTCCTCAACTTTATATAAGAGTGAATGGGCAAAGAGAGATAACTGCTGAGAATGTTCCTATTGTAAACTATGAAAGGCTGCAATGAGTCTCTTGGGATTAATTAACTTTCCTCTTGAAGAAAAAATCCAAAGGATTTATCTTTATCTGCCACATTGAGATTAATTAACACCTCTGTCTGCAAATGAAGTTTGTTTTGAAGTTACGGTCAATTCTGAATGATGTTTACATTCTCTGAAATGTGGATTTAAGTAATGTTCATACTTTATTTTGTTAAAATACACAATGAGTTATGATTTTATTGAATTCTAAAAACAAGATATAGATAAAGATATCGTTTTTATTATTATTTTCTTTTTTCCCTTTTTTTATTTTTTTCTGCCTTATGTAAATTCAAGAATATTAATTATTTTAACAGGTGTTCAGATAATAACCTCATTCTATCATTGCTGAAAAAGTTCTTATTGTAAACTTAGAAGAAAAGGTTGAGAGAGCAGTATAATTAATCCCATGGGTTTGATTATCTTACTGGTTTGCAGAATATTTTAGAGGGTTATCTTTCTGTCACTTTAAGATTAATTAACACCTTTGTCTGCAACTGATATTTGTTTTGAAGTTAAGGTCAAGCCTGGGTGATATTTGCATTCACTGAAGGCTGGCATTTTAGAAAACACATGTTTCATTCATTTTTAAATATACATTTAATTGAGTTATTATAGATATGATGTTTTTTACTGCCTTATGTAAATACAAGGATACTATTTACAGATTGTTCATATTTAGCAGTTGCTGTTGCTTATTCTTTATATATTTTGAAATTTTTTGGAATCAAGTAAAATTCTCATCCCCTAATCTGCACCCTTATATTTCTAACCCTCGGCGGGGCCCTTGCTGACTGGTCAGATTTCTAGTTCATGCAAGTCTTCATATGTTTTTAAAGGATGGCGATCTTGAAAAATAATTTCCCGATCACAAAATATTGCCGTAATCAGAGCTACAGATTCTAAATGTTTGGAATAAAAAAACGAAAATATCTACTAAGCGTTATACCTTAGAACTAGTTAATGTTTCTATAGTAATTGAAAAGCACGTTAGGAATTAATTTTTTCACCATATTTCGTAATTAAGCTGCATTTGTCATTGATAACTCCGTAAATAGTGTGTATATTCTCATCTCTCTATCACTGAATTGTCGCCTATGACGTCAGAGCAGTATTTTACCAAAATCTGACTGAAATATGCATATCGCCGTATTTGAATATCAACTCCCAATATCTCTTAATATATGCTTTCAACAACGTTTATTGGATTCAGTATTTTAATAAACAAGGTTGTAGATAATATTTTTCATAAAATTATGATTTTTGAAAAATCGTGCGATAAGTCCTTTAAAAGAGTTGATTTTAAGAAAAGAAGATTATGTTTCTATGTAATGTTTTTTTATTCTGCTACTTAGGTTACTTTAACTACACATTTGGCAAACCTGGAGATTCCCCAGTCACTAAATGCTTTAACATAGAGTATAAACCAGATGTTTCACGAGAACAGATACAGGTTGGTTTTCTTTATTTCTTTAAAAATTCATGTAAATTTATTATTTCCACACAATAAAAATTATAGCTTTGAAATTTCAGTAATTTGTTTGATAACATTTAGGGCATGATTTAATGTTTTTAGGCTTTGGTCGCACAATCCAGTCACTGTACACAACATCTCAGATACACCTGTACTAATGCTCCTAAGACAGGCAAAGTTACCTACAGCACCTGTGATGGAAAAGACCAGCCAGGTAAATCTAAGAGTCACCTTTTCTAACTAAACCTATAAATTTTGCACAAATTTACACCCACAAAAATAGTTCACTTTGTTTGTAAGGAATGATAAGATCTGATATATGTATAACCTAAGGTTGGGGGGGATCCGGGGGTATGGACATGTGTGCCTGTGGAACCAGTGGAACATGTGCTGGACCAGCAGGGGCCAAATGTAACTGTGACCTGGAAGATGGACAGTCCCGTGGTGATGATGGGTGGATCTACGACAAGACCCGCCTCCCTGTGTGTGAAGTTTGTCTCACACTGGACCCCACCACCCCAGAGGCACCTAGTCGAACAGCAGCTTATGTAGTCTCCAACCTACACTGTAATAGTGGACCTATAGGTGAGTGTTTCAACTAATACTGAGAGTAGTGTATATTTTCAACTTGTTAAACAAAAGTTTTGTTGCAATGTAAGACCTACATGTATTTTTTTTTTTTTTTTTTGCAAAACGTCCTTACTGAAAGTCCTCTCTAAATGTACATAATTGAGTGCATTGAGTGAAATTCACGAGACAATCAAGCCACTTTGTGTATACAAGCAGTAATTATGGTCTCCAGATAAAACACAAGATTGAAAAAAGTGTTAAAGAAAGAAAGAAAAGCTACTATGTGTTGTTTGCAGCTATCGAAGTTTGGCCTATTAATTGTGAAATCTCTTTTAGTCATTTACATGTACATGTATATCCGTATAAAATAAAGAAGTAGGTACAAGAAAAGATGTTTTTGTATAAACTTATTAATTTGATATTATTTACAGCAACGTTTTAATTCAAAATGTTTTGGAAAATCCTGATATCTAAAATCTTCGAATTTCGATGACACCCGAATTTTCTCGCTAACGAGAACATACGCCTCACTTATCATACTTGCATGTATAAAATATATATCTGTAGAGATATTGAAAAATATTTTGCGATTGTAATTTTTGTTGATTTCTCCTATCCGCAAAATTCCGCAAAAAATGGACAACCGCAGAAAATACCCGTTATACGGTATACATTTGTAATATACATGTACATGTACATTTTGATAAATATACATAAATAAGGAAATATGGAGGATAGATCTACATGTAGCACTTTTATATTTTTCTAAATAAATGAGGGTATCTTTTTCAAAGGAATGTATAGTTCCTGCCAGGCACGAAGAAATTCTGGAGAGTCAAAGAATGCCACCACCTATGTAGACCCTGATGGTCTATGGTCTGGGGAACCAGGATTCCCAGTGTACTGTTCATATGTTCCTCATCCACCTCTTGGATTCACAGTAAGTTAAATTCCATTCGTAGCCTTTCTTCTTACATTTACAATGTAGATGTACATGTACATGTACAATATGCATGTTGATAAAAATGCTGTTATCTCTGTAAAAGTCGAAAATAACACAGGGCGAAAATAACCCTGTATACAGTATTTGTATGAAAACATACATATTCCTTCTCTGAAAACTGAAAAGAGGTAGAATATGAGTTTTTCTCTCTTTACTTAATAGGAAATTCGACCCAAGGAACCAGTGATAACAATAGAGTTTGTTGGGGGAGACATAGAGATCTTGTATTACGTATTCAACCTTACTCTGGTACACATGCTGGTTGAGAAATCTGTGTACTGTGAACAAGAAATCTATGTTCTCTGTAATGGTGCCCCAGAGCCGAGTGAAGATCAGGGGCGCAAAATGACTGACTGGGAAGCACAGGTTGAAGGTAGTTACAGGGAGCTAAACTTGTTTTAAGGTCTTATAAAGTTTTGTTTTAGTGCTCATGATTTACAAATAGAAATCTTATTTATAATTACTCTGTCTTGTAAAATTTCAGGTTATCTTTCGGGCCAAAATTTGACAAAAATGGCCTTTTAAATTGAAAATTTTTTAAAAGGATTACTACTAGTCATTTATCTTAGTGAGAGTTATCTCTCTTATAGGGGGGTCAGTGAACCTTAAAAAAGAACTGCATTTCTTTTCCATGTATATGCTTTCTTCATGATGTTGTTTTGTTGTAGGTGGAGGAATCCAGTGTAAGGCAGGCAGTTGTATCTGTACACACGATGGAACTGAGGTGTATGGAGGCATCATTGCTGTTCAGGATCTCCTTCCCGTGAGCAAGATTAATCTGCCTCAGTCTACACAGAAAAGAAAACTCAGCACAGGGGCCATGAAGTGCTATGGTAAGGGAAATTCAGGAATTTTTGATAAATGGACATCCACCATTACTTCACTGGTGGACTCAAATTATAGTCATACTGATCATCATGCAAAATTTATTACTGTTATATTCACAATTATTTGTATAATCACAATTATAATATCCTGTACAAGGAAAATTGCATCTGTTATTATATAAATGCACTGTATGTGAACAAAATAAGATCATCTGAAATATTTACTAATGTCTATAAAATTTTGTTGGAAAGAACGTATACATGCATGTACATGTATTACAGATACATGTAACTTTAGATTACTGCATAGAGGATTTTATTAATATTATGAACATAACATTTCTTTCATACAGCACATTAACCTGTACCTTTGTTTTGTTTATTATGATGCTATATGTGGGTATACACGTTTTAAATTTGCTATTCCAAACTGTTTTGAATATTTTCGTGTTACAGATGTGTACCCTGATTGTAATGAGATCAAGATTGCCAAAATGGCGAAGAACCCACTGGGAAACAATCTCTATGCTATTGACCCAGATGGTGCCGGGGGAGAAAAACTTTTCCCAGCTTTCTGTGATTTTAAAACCAATGAGAAGATAGGAATCACTGAAGTACTTTATTTTTTACTTTCCAAAATGTAGACTTTTCTGAGACTATTGAAATAAAATAAAAATCTGAGACCATTGATGTCCAAAACACATCTTTCTTTAATATTCTATGATGTAGAATTTTAAAATACAGAACTTACATAACCTGGAAAAGAATTTTTCTTGAAAAAAGATGACCCTCTTTTCAAAGGTCACCTCTCTATAAAGGTCACTTTTAATGGTTCCCGTAGGTGACTGCTTAATACAGGTTTGACTGTACATTCATCTGGATTTTGTTTTAGCAGCAAAGAGAAAAAAAAGTTTTAAAACTGTCTATTTGATTTGGTAGATTCCTATTGAAGAGCCAGGTGTGTCATTTAAGCTGAAAATTACTGGAAAGCCAGATCCTGAGCAGAACAGACACTCCATCCTGTATCCTGACGCCACACCTGAACAGATTCATCAGCTGACCACCAGATCCTCATTCTGTCACCAGGTAAAAACAAAATCTTTGAGGTAATGAAATTGCTGTCAAAGTTTATTAATCATACACAGAGCTGTAAACCTGTACGATTTTGGCATTGAGCATCTTAATTCTTAAATACACCTTAGGATTTATGTATGTATTCTACCTATTTCCGTTTTTCTCCATCAAAAGTTTGAAATACCAGAATTTTCATAGCTGTCTACCTTCAGTTTTCACTATTATAATAAAAAGAATTCATAGCCATTACAACACTTGCTTATGTTATCATTGTCTGTTTCTATGCTAACTTGCAATCTAAATCATTGTAAAGTAAACAAAATGGAAAAAATCGCTTGGACAGCCCATGGACCCCCTCCTTATGATTTTTCATTTCATAATGTTGGCAGCTCCTCATTAAAATTTGATTTTAAACTACAAAAAGTATGATGATCCTCTGTTTTGTAGTAAGAACAAAACTATGACATTCTTCTCCTACCAGCATTTACATTATAAATGTAACTAGGATAAGTATACTTTTTTATTACATTTTCAACAGTGAAATAGTGTAATTTATTAATTAATGTAATAAAGGTGATATTCTGACACAGTGTGAAAGGATATCAACACTGTATTCTCACAGTGTGAGAATATCAGAAGTGCAGCAAAACTTAAGATTTTTCCTTCCATTCACAAAGAGTGTTTTTAAAAAAATCCCCGGCCTGTTATAAGATTGAGTTAATGAGCCATCCTGACAGAGGCTAATAGTAATACTGCCAAAGTTTATCCAAATGTGTCATTAAAAATCCATGTTTACAACATTTTTCAATCTCACAATCACTTAGCTATGACGTCTCAACCACTCAACTATGACGTCACAGCCTATGACACTGTGTTACGAAAAGACAGAGGCAAAGGGAAAATAAAAAAATGTAATAAACAGAAAATTTAATGTTTTGTAGATGAATATGGAATTTATTTCACTCGTGAGGCAGGATTTTTTTTATATTTTCATTCGTGCTTTGCACTCATGAAAATATTAAAAAAAAAAAATCCTGTTCCACCCTTGAAATAAATTCCATATTCACCTACAAAACATTGAATATCCTCTATGTACCAATGAATAACATACATGGATTACAGTTGAACTTTACATCAATATTTGCAAATGAATACCGCAGGGATAAGTTGAAGTGAGTCATGGTTGTAATCTTAATTATTAATTTAACTTTCATGTGTTGAACACGTTAATATTAAAAATATTTGTACAATTTCAACATGCTTAATGTGTCAAGGTTTGGTTACCAGTATGTAATAAGTTCTTATCATCATGCTTATTGTGTAATGTAATGTTTCCTATGTTAAGATTTTTCTGTTGACAGGGTATCCAGTACGAGTGTGTAGAAAGTCCCCTCTCACCTAACTATGGTTACTATGACATCTACAATGGGACAAAGGTGTCCAGTTTTGGTACAGGGTATGCTTCCTCTACAGAGGGCTGTGCATGCACACTGACCGGCACCTGTCCAGAGGGGAAACTATGTCACTGTGATGCTAAAGGTGTGGCTATAAAGCATTGGGAAGAAAATCGATCAGTTAAACACATAAACATTCACTGTAGTTGTAACGAAGTGGCATTCAATTTTTTTTTTTTTTTTTTTTTAAATACTTTGACTTTAATGTGGGAGGTGACATTAATGCAGCTGGCTTACAATTAGATAAGCTAAATTAGATAATTTAGTTTTGGTCACAATTTACAATTGATACATGTATATTGGCCAAGTTTTTTCCAACTTGAAAAGAAATTTTAGATAATTATTAGCAAATTTTATAGTTTGACTGAAAAATGTTGATCAAAAATTTCTTTAAATAACATTTTAAAAATAATATCATATTCAAATGTAGATGGACTGAATTTGAAAGTGTTCTTTAAGTCCTACATGCCATTTTGAGTACCATTATTAATCAGAAGCCTATACCTTTATACAGGTAGTATGGTATCTTATGATGTGGGGGAGGTGACTGATGGAAGTGTAATGCCGGTGACAGAGGTCAGTTTTGGGGGACAGACTACTAGCACTGCCACTGCTACTGCCACCTTGACCAATGTTAGATGTGGTCCTCCCGGGGAGACATTTGGTAAATTATATATCGTAAAAAAGAAACGTGTATTGCATTTTCCTTTGTGAGTGTAACAAAAATATGATTCAAAGGAAATACATGTTAATGTATAAGGATATTGTGAAGATCATAAGACAATATTATATAAGGAAATTGTGAACATTATATTACATATATATGAGAATGCAATGTGTTTGTGTTATTTGATCACAGATTTACATGTATTTGGGAACAATCCTGTCATCAGCATTTTCCATTCAAAATGATGCTAATTTACATGTATTTTTCATATCTAGTAAATACAGTAGCATATTGGTTGAAAATTATTAGTATTTGCACCTATGCATTTTGAGAAGTGATCCAGATAAAGTAAAATAAATATCCGCAGATTTCATTTTATTTCATGAAATATTTTGCATTTGAATAATCCCATGTACAAGTGTTTGGTCATTGTCTGTGCTTGTGAAGGTCAGGAAAATATATTACATGTAATATTTGAACATATAATACTTCTGGTTTTCACCATGTGTAGACTTACCAAAGGACTGTGAAGATGCCTATAAAATGAAATATAAGACAGGAGAAGTTATGATCTGGCCAACTGCTACCGTCAAACCGTTCTTTGTGTACTGTGATATGGAGCTGGTACCCAACCATGGTAAGATTTGGATCCCCTAGGAATCTTATGCGCAAGTGCCTTAACTCACTTGCGTAATTCCGGAAAACTCTTAATAGGGATTTCATTCAAATTCACAAGTTTACTATTTTCATAGAAGTAAACCATGTATTGTTTCAAATTTGTTTTTTTTTTTTTGTTTGATTATTTTACTATCTTGTAAAACATGGATATAGATTGGTTTATGACAAATGTTTGTCTAATATAGGCCTGTTTGATAAAATTACATATCTTTGTAAGGTGTGACAATCATTGGTAATGACAGGGAGGTCCCCACCCCAGTGGACGGAACCAAGGTCGTTACTGTGACCTACAACAATGTCACAGAGAAACAGGTGGAATCACTGACACATATCTCTTCCTTCTGTTTCCAACCAGCCAAATATGACTGCTACAACACAATGGTAAATAAATTCACCATCTCTCTCTCTCTCTCTTTCTCTCTCTCTCTCTCTCTTTATCTCTCTCTCTCCATCATCCTCTTACCAGCAAGGAAAGAAATAAAAACAATTCTGTCAATAAATCATTTCTTATCACTGTTTTTTTTGTACATCCAGTTCTGTTGACATTTTGATGTGATGTTTTCTAGTTCATTGGAAGTAACTTGTTTTCCTGGGTTGGAGGCAATATTCAGGACAATAGTTTCCTGGGTATTGGTGGAGAGGGACAGTGTACATGTGCCAAGTCTCAGCAGTGTGGAGGCAATGTCAGTGAGGCAGTGCTTAGAACCAGGTGAGTAACAAAGATGACACTGTAGAGTAGGGCTTAGAACCAGGTCAGTAACAGAGAAGACGACACTGTGAAGCAGTGCTTAGAACCAGATCAGTAACAGAGATGACACTGTGAAGCAGTGCTTAGAACCAGGTCAGTAACAGAGATGACACTGTGAAGCAGTGCTTAGAACCAGGTCAATAACAGACATGATACTGTGAAGCTGTGCTCAGAACCAGGTCATTAATAGAGATGACACTGTGAAGCAGTGCTCAGAACCAGGTCAGTAACAGAGGTGACACTGTAAAGCAGTGCTCAGAACCAGGTCAGCAACAGGTGACACTGTAAAGTAGTGCTTAGAACCAGGTCAGTAACAGATGACACTGTAAAGCAGTGTTCAGAACCAGGTCAGTAACATAGATGACACAGTGAAGCAGTGCTTAGAACCAGGTCAGTAACAGGTGACACTGTAAAGTAGTGTTTAGAACCAGGTCAGTAATAGAGATGACACTGTAAAGCAGTGTTCAGAACCAGGTCAGTAACAGGTGACACTGTAAAGTAGTGCCTAGAACCAGGTCAGTAACAGGTGGCACTGGAAAGTAGTGCTTGGATCCAGGTCAGTAACAGGTGACACTGTGAAGCAGTTTTCAGAACCAGGTCAGTAACAGAGGTGACACTGTGAAGCAGTGTTCAGAACCAGGTCAGTAACAGAGATGACACTGTAAAGTAGTGCTCAGAACCAGGTCAGTAACAGAGGTGACACTGTGAAGCAGTACTTAGAACCAGGTCAGTAACAGGTGACACTGTAAAGTAGTGCTTAGAACCAGGTCAGTAAAAGAGATGACACTGTAAAGCAGTGCTCAGAACCAGGTCAGTAACAGGTGACACTGTAAAGTAGTGTCTAGAACCAGGTCAGTAACAGGTGGCACTGGAAAGTAGTGCTTAGATCCAGGTCAGTAACAGGTGACACTGTGAAGCAGTGTTCAGAACCAGGTCAGTAACAGAGGTGACACTGTGAAGCAGTGTTCAGAACCAGGTCAGTAACAGAGATGACACTGTAAAGTAGTGCTCAGAACCAGGTCAGTAACAGAGGTGACACTGTGAAGCAGTACTTAGAACTAGGTCAGTAACAGAGATGACACTGTAAAGTAGTGCTTAGATCCAGGTCAGTAACAGGTGACACTGTAAAGTACTGCTTAGATCCAGGTCAGTAACAGGTGACACTGTAAAGTACTGCTTAGATCCAGGTAAGTAACAGGTGACACTGTAAAGTACTGCTTAGATCCAGGTCAGTAACAAAGATGACACTGTCATGGCAGTTTAAAGATTCTCCTTTTAGCCCCAGTCCTAGTGTCAGTTCCCCTGTATATTTTTTGGAGAGGACTTATTTCTAAATATGGGCCAGGATTACATGTAAATTAATTAGTTTTTATGATACACTGTATCGGTCACATATGACAGTGAGACGCTTAATACAGTGGGTCGCTATGGCAGTTTTAACTGTATCATACATGTATTACATTTTAACGATTTAACATTACAGGAAGTGTAATTGTGATGCGGCTGAGCTTCAGTGGAGGAGAGATGGAGGAGTCATTAATAGTACCAGTAAACTTCCAATGAAAACCCTCAACTTCCTGGACAGTCAGCGAGAGGGTGCAAAGGGAGTCATCACTCTTGGAAAACTCTACTGCTCACAGGTGGACTTTGGTAAGATTTAAATGTATTTAGTCAAAAGTTGTATTTGTTTTTAACATTAAAACTTTGAGTCTACATACTGTATACAGGGAAATTTTCACCCGTTTTATTTTCGCCCTAATCCAGGTGAGCATATTTAAAACGGGGTGAATTCAAAGAACACAGTATAATCTCTTAAACAGAACGGTGACTGGGAAAATTTAAAACAGGGCAAAATTGTTTGCAAGCGCAAATGGAAAAAATAACATGGGGCGAAAATAACCATGTATACAGTATATGCTGTATATAAAAGTAACTTTACAAGTCCCTTTGTCTGTCAGATCTGGATGAATGTAAGATGGACTTTGATGACTGTGATTCCAATGCTGTGTGCATTAACAAATACGGATCATTTGGTTGTAAATGTAAGGCAGGCTACAATGGTTACCCAGAACAACCAGGCAGATGGGCAAATGGACGCAATTGTTTTGGTAACAAAAACATTTTTATTTGAATTAATATACTGTATATATCTTTAATTTTTACTTTCAATAGATATATCACATGCAAATACTTTCAATAAAGATTTTTCTCACGTAGTCTAAATTGTGAAGGCCTGGTTTGTTTTCAAGACTATGGAGGTGCATTAGTGTCAATTAGGAAATAAAAGGAAAAATAAAGTCTTCACTTTTATTTGGTTTAATTTTGTAAAGAAAGCTTTTTCATTTTGCAGATGACAATGAATGTGCTCTTCTGAGGTGTCCCCACTCTGCTATTTGTACTAACACCATTGGTTCCTTCAAGTGCACCTGTAAGCCTGGCTATATACAGACATCTCCCACCACTTGTCAGGGTAGGTAATCCAAGATCAAGGGAGATAATCCAGGCATAGAGATGTTCAGCAATAATGATACATGTAATAATAAATAATATTCTATTGAGAGCAGTAACTCAACTAGTGTGGGGTTCTTGGAGGCCTTCTTGTGCATAAATACAAAGTACATGTACAATACTAATAATTTGGTAACACACAATATTAATGACAGTGAAATAAACATGTTTTCAGCATTGCTATGACATCACTCTGTCCAAAAATTCACCTACTGGAGTCTAAATAATAATACAAAGGAGTTTGATAGTATATTTCAAAAACAAAGAATTTGCTATTGTTTACTCATCAGACTCTTTCTAGGTAACTTTTGAACATCCGGATGTCAATGTTTTAAGTAAAATATGTACATGAAAAATTATCAGTTTGTGTTTCTGACCCTATCGAGCCTGGATCAGTGTGATGATTTTTCATATGTATGTAGAACTGTATTCTGCATATATCCTTAATGTACAGTAGCTATAGATTTACATAAGTTCCTTAAAATTAAGAAGTCTGCGTCATGCGTCAGTTTTTAAAATTGAGACAAAATTTAAAGCCTAATGTAAACAATTAAATTGTGGTATCACTAAGTCCAGGCCCCAGGGCCATAAAACTTAGACAATCTCACTTTTGATCTCAGTCTCACTTTTCCACTATTATTTCCTTTGGTAAAAGTGAGACTGAGATCAAAAGTGAGTTCATCTAAATTTTATGGGCCCCAAGCGTGATACTGGCTGCTTTATTTTCATTTGCTAGTGAATGATACATATAATGTTACGTAAATTGAAAAAGATTTTTTAAAATGTAAAATTTTCTGCAAATCTTTCAGACATCAACGAATGTGCAGACCCCAATCTCAATGACTGTGACCCCAACGCTAAATGTTATAATCTGGAGGGAACTTTTGAGTGCCGCTGTAAGCGTGGATACAGAGGAGATGGCAAAACCTGTGAATGTAAGTCACAAACAATGGCACTGGAGACACTGTACTAAATTTTAATTGACAAACACTCTAAAGATAGGAATTTCTTTTATAATTGCAGAGATTAAATAATAGAAAATACAAATCCCTATTCTGAAATTTTACTAATGTAAGGTTTTAAATATCTTGGGTTTTGTAATGGTCTACATCAATATCTGTATTTTCTTACTGCAGCTGTTGGTCTGTGTTCCTGTTTTGGTGATCCACACTGTATCTCCTTTGATCAGAAGTGGCTCCATTTCCAGGGTGACTGCCAGTATGTTATGTCTCAGGATGGTTGCCACGGTACCAGCCCAACCTACCAAGTTCTGACCACTCACTGGAACCAGGACCGCCCTGGTGTGAATCATGTCACCTGGGTCAAATCTGTCACCATCAAACTACCAGGATATGTAAGAAGTTACATGTATATTGTTGCTTTATTGTGGAATAAAAAGACTTTGGCTCTCGAAATGATGTCCTTACAAATCTGTAGTGTTTAGTAATCCACAAAAAAATTGTCTCCCTTAACTATGATGATACCACAGTAGTTAGAGTTTTTGCTGTTACCAAGACATTAATTCAATAATTACATGTATTTTAGTGAAATAACTTAAGCACATGTACTACATAACATTTTGGAAAAATTAACAAAAATTACAGAAAAAACAAACTACATTTATATTAAGAAAACCTGAGCAAAATCAAGACCATTTTACTTCATTAGAAAGAGCTTAAGACTTTTAATACTGGAAACAATCCTTATATTTATGTGTAGATGATAAACCTTGAACTGACAACATCAAGGGATTTTACATGTATATGTCACTGAGTAAATCGATATCTTTAATATCTCCCTTTCAGACAATAGAGCTCTTACAGAACCATGAAGTGAGAGTTAACCAGCTGAAGAGAACACTGCCCTATAAACCAGAAGGGAGGTTACTCATCAGACGTTATGGAAGCTGGGTGGTAAGCAACTTTAACTTCTTGATTCCAATAATCCTTCATTAGAATGGGTGGGAGGGCTTATTCTTTTCAACATAAATAAGATGCTGCTGTTGTTTGATTTCCTTTTTTTTTTCAAACATACGAAGATTAAGTTACCAACTGTGCATCACTGGAATAACTCATGAAAATTGAAGACATCTTCTTTAGAAATGTGTATAAAGCTATGTGAATTAGAATATATACTTTTAACAAGCTCATGAATGTTTAATAGGAGGTGTACAGTGAGCTAGGAGTCCAGGTGAACTGGGATGGGTTCCAGGCCGTTGAAATCCAAGTAACAAAGAGTTACCAGAACCAGACCTGTGGCTTGTGTGGAGACTACAACCAGAATCCAGACGATGACTGGAGGCTTGGACCAGCATGTGATGTCACAGGAGATATTGTAAGTAGCCAGTGGTAAGGATTATTGGAAGTTGTCAATGGTAGGGATTGTGGGAAGTTGTCAGTGGTAAAGATTGTGGGAAGTTGTCAGTGGTAAGGATTGTGGGAAGTTGTCAATGGTAAAGATTGTGGGAAGTTGTCTGGTAAGGATTGTGGGAAGTTGTCAGTGGTAGGGACTGTGAGAAGTTGTCAGTGGTAGGGATTGTGGGAAGTTGTCAGTGGTAGGGATTATGGGAAGTTGTCAGTGGTAGGGTTTATGGGAAGTTGTCAGTGGTAGAAATTGTGGGAAGTTGTTGGTGGTAAGAATTGTGGGAAGTTGTCAGTGGTAATGATTGTGGGAAGTTGTTGGTGGCAAGGGTTGTTGGCAGTTGTCAGTGGCAGGGATTGTGGGATGTTTGTCATCTTTTTTGAAACAAGTACATGTATGATAGGCACATTCAATTTGAAATTAGTTTATAACAGCTTGGTATTGTTAGAATTTATAAGCCTAAGGAACCAGGTAAAGTCAGAAATTCATAACTTCAAGAGAAGAAAAACAGTATATTTGATTCATTTAAAAGTTTTTGGGAATATCATTTTTTTTGCATATAATCTATAAGTAATATCCTGCTAATATGACAGATTTAACAGACTGTATCTGGCCAGATCAAATACATTGTATTTCCTTATCATGCTTATTTTGCATATATGACAACAAACTCATAATTTCAGTCATATTTTGAACCTGGATTAAAAATTTTATTGGGTTCAAAAGTATCCATATGACATTGATATTGATATTAACATCAGAGTTTTGTTCCATTATTGTAGACAACTAACTTTAATAAGTTTGGAAACTCTTATGTGGTAAAGAGTTATGCTGACAGTAATCCCCAGTGTACGTTTGATTGTTACTCCCCACCAGAAGAACCCGAGTGCCAGGAAACGGACCGACAAATCGCCGAGTACTACTGTAACCAAGTATTTGACCTCAATGGAAAACTGAAGGTAAGGAGGGGAAAAAAATTGTTTACAGAAGAATATTGAAATAAGGGAAGAAGACTTAATTAAAGAAAAAATTAATGTTAATTTAATAGCATAAAGATTTTTAAAAAATTTTTAATCCATGATCCAGAAAATAATAACGTGTGTGAATTGATAACTTATAAACATGTGTACATTTGCAGTCCTGTTTAGCGAGAATGGAAACAGCCGATTTAGAACAATATAAGACATCCTGTGTGTATGATGTTTGTTGGGTCAAGGACAGCATCTGTATGATTGCCAGTCAGTTGGTCAAGGATTGTCAAAACAACTACGGCCTCAACCTTACAGACTGGCGGTCACCTAAACTCTGTGGTAAGTGTGTATAGAAACACACATTATAGATTAATTACTGTAGATTCCTTATTTTACGCGAGTACTTAATATCGCGAAATGGCCCAAGGGCGTCAAATCGCGAGAACAATAATTCGCGAATGTGTGATTTATCTTGAGATTTTACATACATTAAAGCACCGTAAAAATAAAAGTGAGTAATTTTATTTCGCGAATGGTGCTTCTTGCGTAATTACGCGATAATTAATTCCTCGCGTATATTTAGGAATCTACAGTAGTTAAAATGGTTAAAAATTAAATAAAAATAAATTATGAGGAAATATTAAAAGTATCAAAGGTCTCTCTTGATTATAGCAACTGTTTATGTGTGTTTGATTGTAATAAACTATTATTTGATATTTTTAGCTCTACTGGTCAGAGACCAGAAGAGCTTATGCGATAGTAAGGTGTCCGGCGTCCGTCTAGCTGGCTGTCCGTCTGTAAACAATTTTTCAAAATGCTACTCCTCCTACAGTTTTGGTCTGATTTCTATATAACTTGGCACACAAGTAGACTACACTAAGATACGTAATTCTGTTATCGGTTTTAGATTTTGATGAACAGTGTTGCCATGGTTACTAAAAATAGAAATTTCTGTGAAATACTTCCAAATGCTACTCCTGTTACAGTTTTGATCTGATTTCAATATAACTTGGCACACAAGTAGACTACACTAAGATACATAATTCTGTGTATTGGTTTTTGATTTCGATGAACAGTGTTGCCACGGTTACTAAAAATAGAAATTTCTGTGAAATACTTTTAAAATGCTACTCCTCCTACAGTTTTGGTCTGATTTCTATATAACTTGGCACACAAGTAGACTACACTAAGATACAAAATTCTGTGTATCGGTTTTTGATTTCGATGAACGGTGTTGCCATGGTTACTTAAAATAGAAATTTCTGTGAAATACTTTAAAAATGCTACTCCTCCTACAGTTTTGGTCTGATTTCAATATAACTTGGCACACAAGTAGACTACACTAAGATACACAATTCTTTATATCGGTTTTTGATTTCGATGAACGGTGTTGCCATGGTTATTAAAAATAGAAATTTCTGTGAAATACATTAAAAATGCTACTCCTCCTACAGTTTTGGTCTGATTTCAATTTAACTTGGCACACAAGTAGACTACACTAAGATACATAACTCTGTTTATCGGTTTTTGATTTCAATGAACGGTGTTGCCATGGTTTCTAAAAATAGAAATTTCTGTGAAATACATTCAAAATGCTACTTCTCCTACAGTTTTGGTCTGATTTCAATATAACTTGGCACACAAGTAGACTACACTAAGATACATAATTCTCTTTATCGGTTCTAGATTTTGATGAACAGTGTTGCCATGGTTACTAAAAATAGGAATTTCTGTGAAATACTTTAAAAATCCTACTCCTGTTACAGTTTTGATCTGATTTCAATATAACTTGGCACACAAGTAGACTACACTAAGATACATAATTCTTTGTATTGATTTTTTATTTCGATGATCGGTGTTGCCATGGTTTCCAAAAATAAAAATTTTCTTTGAAATACATTCAAAATGCTACTTCTCCTACAGTTTTGGTCTGATTTCAATATAACTTGGCACACAAGTAGACTACACTAAGATACATAATTCTTTGTATCGGTTTTTGATTTTGATGAATGGTGTTGCCATGGTTACTAAAAATAGAAATTTCTGTGAAATACTTTAACCAGAAGTATCTGATGAGACTGTAGCTCTACTGGTCTGTACATATACATGTAACAAAGAAAAAGTAGCACTTGGATTTGAAACTTTGCAACATGAAGCAATAAATAGAATTATGAATCTTAATATTGTCTACTTGTGTGCCAAGTTCAATTGAAATCAAATAAAAACAGAAGAAGGAGTGCCGTTTTTTAAAAAAAATTGAGATCAAATAAAAACTGTAGGAGGAGTGGCGTTTTAAAAGAAATTCACAGAAATTCTATTTTTAGTAACCATGGCAACACTGTTCATCGAAATCAAAAAAACTCTGAATTATGCATCTTAGTGTAGTCTTCTTGTGTGCCAAGTTATATTGAAATCAGACCAAAACTGTACAAGGAGTTTCGTTTGGAGGAGTTTCACAGAAATTTCTATTTTTAGTAACCATGGCAACATCGTTCATCAAAATCAAACACCGATGAACTAAATTATGTATTTTAATTGAGTCTACTTGTATGCCAAACCATATTGAAATCAGACACAGTCATATTGAAATCAGACCAAAACTGTAGGAGGAGTAGCGTTTTAAAGGAATCTCAAAGAAATTTCTATTTTTTAGTAACCATGGCAACATCGTTCATCAAAAATCAAAAAACCGATGCACTAAACTATGTATCTTAGTGTAGTCTACTTGTGTGCCAAGTTATATTGAAATCAGACCAAAACTGTAGGAGGAGTAGCGTTTTAAAGGAATTTAACAGAAATTTCTTTTTTTAGTAACCATGGCAACACCGCTCATCCAAATCAAAAACCAATGCACTATATTATGTACCTTAATATAGTCTACTTGTGTGCCAAGTTATATTGAAATCAGACCAAAACTGTAGGAGAAATAGGGTTTTAAAGGAATTTCACAGATATTTCTATTTTTAGTAACCATGGCAACACCGCTCATCCAAATAAAAATCCGATGCACTAATTTATGTATCTTAGTGTAGTCTACTTGTGTGCCAAGTTATATTGAAATCAGAGCAAAACTGTAGGAGGAGTAGCGTTTTAAAGGAGTTTCACAGAAATTTCTATTTTTAGTAACCATGACAACACCGTTCATCCAAATCAAAAACCGAAGCACTAAATTATGTATCTTAGTGTAGATTACTTGTGTGCCAAGTTATATTGAAATCAGACCAAAACTGTAGGAGGAGTAATGTTTTAAAGGAATTTCACAGAAATTTCTATTTTTAGTAACCATGGCAACACAGCTCATCCAAATAAAAAACCGATGCACTAAATTATGTATCTTAGTATAGTCTACTTATGTGCCAAGTTGTACTCAAATCAGACCAAAACTGTAGGAGGAGTAATGTTTTAAAGGAATTTCACAGAAATTTCTATTTTTAGTAACCATGGCAACACCGTTTATCGAAATCAAAAACTGATGCTCTAATTTATGTATCTTAGTGTAGTCTACTTGTGTGACAAGTAATATTGAAATCAGACCAAACTGTAGGTGGAGTAGGGTTTGAAAGGAATTTCACAGAAATTTCTATTTTTAGTAACCATGGCAACACCGCTCATCCAAATAAAAAAAACGATGCACTAAATTATGTATCTTAGTGTAGTTTACTTGTGTGCCAAGTTATATTGAAATCAGACCAAAACTGTAGGAGGAGTAGCATTTTGAAAAATTGTTTACAGACAGACGGACAGACAGACGGACGGACGCCGGACACCTTACTATCGCATAAGCTCTTCTGGTCTCTGACCAGTAGAGCTAAAAATGCTACTCCTACATTTTTGGTCTGATTTCATATAACTTGGCACACAAGTAGATTTCACTGAGAAACATAATTCGTTGTATCCATTTTTTTGATTTGGTGAAGTGTTGCTATGGTTACAAAAAAATTGAAATTTCTTTGATATACTTTCAAAACATTACTAAACCTACTGTTTGGTCTGATTTTAATATAACATGGCATGCAAGTAGAGGACACTGAGATACATAATTGCCTTTATTGTTTTTTTGATTTTGATAAATGATGTTGCCATGGTAACTAAAATCAAAATTTCTCTAAAATTCTTTTAAAAGGCTACTCCTTCTACAGTTTTAGTCTGATTGCAATTCATCTTGCCACAAATAGAGAGTAAAACAAGGATTATTATTTATTTTTTGCTGTTGCAAAGTTTCAGTCCAAGTGCTACTATTCTCTTCCTTTGTCATAAGTACAAACCAGTAGAGCTACAGTCTCGACAGAGACTTCTTGTTTACCATATGAAATACCAGAATTTTGGTTTAAAGTCTCTAAATACTTGCATTTTTCCATGGTATCTTTGCCTTATTTAAGAAAATCACACTTATTAAGGTTAGCCATCTTAACTACATGGCGAGATAATTTATTTCAGAGAAATCTTGTGAGGAAAACATGGAGTATTTGACATGTGCCAAATCAGATCGTATGAAGACCTGTGCAGATGTAATGGGGTCTATAGCCATCCCCACCCAGGATCTCTGTCAGGAGGGGTGCTACTGTAAAGAGGGGATGGTGCTAGATGGAGACAGATGTGTCGAGGAGAAAGACTGCGGCTGTAATTACAAAGGGGAATATTACACTGTGGGTGGATCCAAATTCTTTTTTAAAATCTGCATGTCTTAAACTGAATGATTCATTTGCTCTCTCACTACTGTTTGTGTAATCTCTTACAATGTAACATCTTAATTTGTATTTTTTTTTCTTATGCAGGCTGGGCAGGCATTGATTCCAGAGGGGTGTACTGTTACCATGGTGTGTAACGAGGAAACCAAGAAGTTTGACTCGACCCCATTAAAATGTCACTCTGATGCCTCCTGTAAATACAAGGATGGTATCTACGGCTGTCACTGTAACTACATGTACCGAGGAGACGGACAGAACTGTACTTGTGAGTAGGAATTGGAAATTACTCCCTCTCTACTTTCAAAAAATCTTATTTTTATTTTAATCTTTTTTTTTTTTATGGAAAAAGGGTATTAACCTTGCAATGTAAAGTGAGGTTATTTTATTTTTTGTATTTTTGGCTTTGTAGGATTTTTGCTAAATTATACAGAAATTATCATTTTAGGCAAAGTGAAATATTGCTGCCTAATACTTTACTTCTGTGTATTCAGTACAAATTCTTTGGGGTATACTTGTCATAAATATATGTAAATGTATAAACTAGAAGTATGCATCAGCATTGACAATGAAACATGAAAGAAAATAGACAAAGGTAAACAAGATAAATTTTGTTGTTGTTGCTGTTTTTTGTTTTTGTTAATTTTCAATTTTGCACATTTAATAGATGACCCATGTGGTAACAATCCTTGCGGTGCTGATCAGGCCTGCGTGGTGACTGACACTGGTTTTGTGTGCGAGTGTAAGATGGGTTACCAAGGAGACTGTAACAATTGTGAAGGTGAGGATTTAATTCTTTTAAGACTTCAGACAACAGACTTCATTCCCAGAGACCTGGTAATGTACCAGGGTATTACTGTAAAAGTGGAAATTTTATGGCATTGAATCATTAACAAATGATCATTAAAGTTTCCTGTCATTGACTTGTTCATTCTTGATTAATGAAGCTCTAAACACTGCACACTAAAGAGTTCTAACTGTAGGGTGGTTTTATAGTTATAGTGATCTGCCCTTAGAAGTAAGATAGAAAAAATGATTATTTATAGTTAATTACACAATTTGCAGTAGATTAAAATATTCGTAGCATAAGTAATTGAATTCATTATTTCCATTAATTTTCCCAATGTTGGTAAACAACAGTGATTTCTGTTCACGCATAGTCCATTGTCTTTTTCTTGCAGAAATAAGGCAGATACCCTATGTTAAAAATGAATTAAATAGTCTCAATATGCACACCATTATATATTAATTTGGACGGAAAACGTCATCAATGCGCGTAGCGCGTTGATGAAAACGTTTTCCGTCCAAATTTTTTCTTTGATACTTCGGTCAAAGAAAAAAATATTACATTCATTTCTTATCATTTAATTATGATTTTAAAAAAATAAAATGAAAGTTTTTTCACTTTAATATTTAATTTACGCATCAAAGACTGTGCGTAGGTATACATCACAACAACGTTGCTAAATTTCAAAATGGCTGAATGTACAAGATCTACGAGTATTGAAGAAATTTTCCGTCCAAGTCTTCTTTGATACATTGATCAAATAAAAAATTATAAGATTTATTTCTTATAATCTAATATTTATCTTTCAAGATGAGATTTAACCTGAGAACGAGTGACTGTCCAACATATACTTTAGTTAGACTAGCTTACCTAAATTTTCAGACGCAGAGTAATAGGGAGAAACAGCATTTTCAAATATTGTCATGTCATTACCAGCTCTTTCTGACAATATTATAACAGTTTTAACAAAAAAACTTACCTGTTGTGTTATTAATTTTTGCTATATCGCAATGGGTATATTATCCCTGGTAAGCTGATATCTTTAGGTTTGTAAATGTAAAGGGAAGCTACTCAAATATAACCTTAACAACTTTTTCTACAGTAGGTCACAGAAATTTTGGATTTCATTTGCGCATCTCTTCATCTGAATTTCAAACCGAACATATAAATGTATACGTATCACAACCTGTCCATGCATATCACAATATGCTGTAAAATCTAAAAGAGTCGGTTGCCGACTGTCTAGCATTGAAAAAATTCCGTGCTCGCTCAGTGTTGTTTTTCTCATGTATTCGTTTCCTAAGAATTAACAGATTAACGGCAATTCTCCTCTTTGGTAGCATAAAACATTTCTTCACAGTTCTATTGTTCATACCAGTTATCTCAAAGGCAAACATATAACATACATATGATGATTTCTTTCCCGCAACTGCATTGTTGACATTGCAGACGATTTTATTTGTTTAGCAAAGGGGAATAATTCGAAAAGAAACGAAAGTAGAAAATAAATCAGGAACGTAACGGACAAGTTTTGAAATTCAGGAAAAAAGATTTGAAAGTATTTCATTTTTCTTTCAGAAAGTAATCTGGAAGCGGGAAATATATATGTGAAGTCAGCCAAAGTACTGTAGATCACTAAATTTTCGCGACACCTTATTTTCGCGAGATAGTCATTGACTCTTTATTAGCGAGACATAATTTTCACGAATTATTGTTATTCTTCTATATAATCTTAAGGAATACTATTATACGCGAGAATGAAATTTTCGCGAGCTCAATGTCTCACGAAATTACGCGAAAATAAAGTTCTCGTGAATAAAAAGTAATTTACAGTAGTTCCGGCTGCTAAGTGCAAGTGAACTCCAGATTTTATTGATGCAGTTATCAAAAGAATTTTTTATCCAATCAGAATCAATTATTTTATAGAAATTAAATGATATATTTTTCTCCAAGTCCCAAAAGCACTTTTTGTTAGTGTTTAGAGCTTCCTTAAGAGCAATATTTAAATATTAGTAGACTACTTGCCAAATTTTAAAGATAAGGAAATCGGCAAACCTTCATCCCCTCTACTTGCCAAATTTCTAAGTTAAGGAAATTGGCAAACTATCATCCCTTCAGTATAACCACAGTGTAAGCAAGTCATTTTTTTTTTTTCATATAATGAAGAAGAAATGAAATCTAGTGAAAAAGAATTTCTAGAAGTGGATTATTTTCTATTGTACTTTCAGATATTGATGAATGTGCCACAAAGACAGATAAATGTCCAGATAATTCCCGCTGTATCAACACCCCGGGGTCTTACAGGTGTGAGTGCTGGTCAGGATTCACTAAGACTGGGGACATCTGTGAAGGTATGCATCTGTTTCTACTTGCAGTTTAAATTTATCTCATCTCATTTAGGTCTCTATGTACATTTTGTCAATATGTACATTTTGGTCTATATGTACCTTTATGTTAAGTTTGGAGCTTGACTGTTTCCTAGGCTGATAAAATCAGTACAGTATTAAAGGAGGAGATAGGGTTAATAAATTGGTGTGTGACTGTAAACTAATGACTCATTAGTTTGCATTTTGGGAAATCAGAAAATCTTTGTTTGTCGAAGGTCTATTCTACATATCTGAAAATATTTTTGGGGAATCTGAAGACATGTAATGTTCCTTTTTATTAAAGTGTACAATTACATATACCTTTGAAATTTTACTTCAATGAATATTTATGTTAACTTGTTAAGAGCCATTCTCTGTAATGACTTGAACTTTTATATAGGAGCTGTGGCACGCATAGTCTCAGAATCTCTCCAAACTCTCTATGATAAAAGTCTTTGATACTGTTAACTCAAATCAGGCAAAAATTGGTTGCTACGTGTCATGGTTACCATAGCAAGATGTCCTAAAGTTTGAAAAATGGCATTTTTCAACATCTTCAGAGTCCCACAGTTAACGTTTGCAGCAAAGCAAACAAGTGGCAATGACTGTTTCTGAAAGTTGAAGCCCTAGTGTCTTAAATGCATGATAAACATGTTTGGTAAATCATCTATAACATACGTTACTATGGAAACAAAGTATTCAAAAGTAATAATTTTGTTCATTTAATTTTAAAAAGTCATACACTTAAGAATAAAAACAATTATAGGTTGAAATGCAAGCAAATAACAGAGAAGAGATTCTTGTAACATACACCAAAGACAAAATATGATATTTCTTATAGGTTGGCAATGGTTGCCATGGTTTTAATACCACGAAGGGATTTTAAATTTACTCTCTTAGTGTTTTAATCTTATCCTATCTTTTTAAAAAGCATATTTCTATATAACTGATGATCAATTTTTAAAGGCCTTGGTGTGACCCTAATTTTCACATTTCAAAAAATTCAATTTCAATTCTTTTAATAGTGCGTTGCTATGGAAATAAGGCAAAAAAAACATGCATAAAAATCTTTAAAATACTCTGTTTCCTTGGATACGTACCGTTGTATGTAGATTCCCAAAACTTTAATGATTAATATATGTGAACAACTAACCTGACTTTCATTTTTGACTATCACCCAATCTCTAACTGGATGCAAAAAGCTGGCACATAGGGTCTAATAGTGACAAAAAATTAACAAAATCGAACATTTTCTCTTCTTGGTAACCATTGCAACAGTGTTGTATTTTTCAACAACCTTTATCAATATATGATATTCAACTTTAGTTCTACGAGATAAGTACTATTCAAGGTGATTCAAATGATATTTTTCTTGATTAAAAGGTTGGTAAATTCCTAAAGCAGCAAAAAAGTATCACTTTAAACAACTAGTATGTTGTTTCCATGGTTACACTGCAAAGTAACAATTAATCTCAATTTTTCTTATGTTGTCAGTGTTGCAAGGTCCTAAGGATGCATATGTCCCAGTCATGAATTTTATTGTTTTCCATCACGATAGTAGCATTAACCCAATCATAGCAACAGATTTTGCATGGTGACAGTGTTACCATGGCAACCATGAAAGTTATTTTTAGAATAATATTGCCAATACCTAATTACATGAGGTCAAATATTTTTCATTGTTTTTCTTACTTTGTTGATTGAGTTTGATCATGTAACATCTAACATTTGTGCCTATAGACCGTTTTTCAGCATTTTTCAGCAGCTAAAATGTATTCCAAATGTACCCATGGTTACCACTTACTTATAGATAAATTCTAGATAGTTTCTTTATAGCATAAGTGGCAACAAGGTGTCATGTTTTTGGGAGAATGGTTTGTTTGTTTTTCTTAGTCTTTATTAAGGCTTAATAAAGATTTAAAGTGGCTGAAAATCTCAATTTTTTCAACTTTTCTGACTGTTACCATGGCAACCAAGACACATAGCAACGAACTTTTATTTGATATATGTTTCTGGTGTCAAGTTGTAATAATGGGCAAAGTTTCATCAAAATTGGTGATCATGCGTGGCAAAGAAGTTTAAGTGGTTACAGAGAATCGCTATTAATTAATAAGATTTTTTTTTTTACTTGAAGAAAATCTTTTAAGAGAAAGAAAGATGGGAAAAAAGTCTTTTCTTGTATTATTTAAACAGAGTTTCAATTACAAGTAACATTTGCTGTATGTGAATAATTACAGATATAGACGAATGCAAGATTTCCAGCCTGAATAAGTGTAACTCCTCTACTAAGTGTTTCAACCGTCCAGGAGGCTATCATTGTGAACCATGTGATGGTAAGATTGCCCAAGTGATGGTAAAATTGCCCATGTGATTGTTACATTGTCCATGTGATTGTTACATTGTCCATGTGATCGTAGGATTGCCCATTTGATTTTTAGATTGCCCAAGTGATTGTTACATTGTCCATGTGATTGTTACATTGTCCATGTGATCGTAGGATTGCCCATTTGATTGTTAGATTACCCATGTGATTGTCAGGTTGTCCATGTGGTTGTTACATTGTCCATGTGATCATAGGATTGCCCATGTGATTGTTAGATTGCCCATGTGATTGTTAGATTGTCTGTTAAGATTGCTCAGGTAATCGTAAAATTGCCCAAGCATTGGCAAGATTGCCCATGTTATGTTAAAATAAAAATGTGATGGTAAGATTTCCCACATAATGGTAAGACTGCCTGTATGATGATAAGACTTCCTATCAGTGGTAGGGTTGCCCATATGATGGTAAGAAAGCCAACTTGATGGAAACCTGTCTAATTTAGATGTTTCCTAGAAGCCTTCTTAATATTTGAGCATATTTTTTATTGTAAGCTGTAAAATTTACATCAAACATTAAATTTTATAAATTGTAAATAAAAGTGGTTGAAGTAATGGGCTTTAATATGGACAGGACATGAAGAGGTGTTGCATATCTTCATGTACATATTTATCAGGACAGAATGGTGACTCAGGTGAGTTTTGTGGCTCATGGGCCTATTATTTTCCATACCAGAAACATGTATTTTCACATATTTTTTCATATATCACAATTTAACTGTATTTTACTGTATTTACAATCCTTTTCAGATACAACAGCTGTTAAATGTTGTGCCTGTTATGGATATAGATGCAATAAACCTGGCAAAGTAGGTTTACATGTTATTATATGTGAATTTCACTGTAGAGAACATCTATTTCATAATTTTTGTCAAAATTTTCTCTTGAATAAATTGTCTCCATGATGGAGTTAATTGTTCTGTCAGAATCAAGATGGTGAAGTTGTAAATGGCATTTTAGAATTATTTTATGTCAACTGTGATAGCGAGTTTATAATTCTTCCCTGTTTACATGTATAAAGATGAAAATATATCTTTTTTTACCTCAGGTCTGTGGAACAGATGGTAAGACTTACAATGCAGAGAAAGACCTGATTGTGGAGGCCTGTGAGACAGGACAGAGTGGTTATAATGGTCTGAGAGTGGACTACAAAGGACCATGTATAGGTATAAAGTGGGTCTTATGAATAAACATACATGTAACTGTACAACAGTCGAATTTGTTAAAGTATTGTGGTACTGTATATATATATTATTATAACAGTAACTTGATCCGAGGAGCCGTATCACGTCGAGTTGACAGGCGCGGATCATCAGATCAAACGACACGCGAAGCGTCGAGTTTGATCTGATGATCTGCGCCTGTCAACGAGACGTGATACGGCTCTTCGGATCAAGTTACTGTTATAATGATAAATTTATTATATACCCCTTTACAACTAGCAAAGTATAATAAAAGGAAAACTTTTTGGATCAATTACATAACTTTTATCCATTAAACAAACCATTTTGTCAAGGAACTTTTTGATGCGCGAGAATAAAAACGTCATTTATCTGTGTACTACGTCATCAGTTTCAGAGAGGGGTGATATGGATTCAGAAAACCACAGTGTGGTGATTCGGAATGTCGGATCACACCGTCACGTGATTGCGTAAATTCAACAGTAAAACTGAGTGACAAACAGTTGGGTATATAATAAATCTGAATTACACACATTTCTACAACTTTATCTTCTCAAGATAATAGCATTTATACATATTGAGAATTTTTGCTTGTCACCCTAATGACTGGAAGTAGAGAAGAGTTACACGATCGTATTATTGACAAGAAATTACTTTTGAGTTGAAATAATCTCACAAAATATAGAACATGCGATTGACAGTATTAATCTTGAAACTTCTTGCACATACTGTAGTATTATTAGGCTTTAATTGGTATTTATCTTGTATGTAAATAAGTTGCATGTACCATTTATAATGGATTGTGATTGTTTGAAAATACAAGGGGTGATCAAAAAGTTCACGAACTATCTCCATATTTACAAAACCACTATTCAGATCAGAATGAAATTTAGCACACATATAGTCATACACATGTTCTATAAATAACAGATGTTAAATAATGTTTTGCTCCGTTTTTGTGTTGTCACAAAGTGAAAATGACGTCAATATGTAGGTGACTTGTGACAAAAAATGGTTGACTTAGTCGTACTCGAGAAACGAACGGTTGTAAAGTTTAACGTTATATCTTGGAAATTCCTTTGCAGTAGAATATGATAATTTGTACAAGGTTTATGAAGACAAAAGACTTACCAGAAGTCAAATCATTAATTAGATTGATTATTTTAGTGAAGGCAGGGAGATGGTTAAATATGATGTTTGTTCTGTTGCCCAGCGAAAGCAAGCCGGGGAAAAGATGTGTCTTTAGTTGAGCAATTTGTTATGATACATCGCCAAGTTACGATTAGAAAATTAGTTGAATATCTTAACAATAATGTAATTATTAAATCCCTAAAATATCGTTTACTTTAGACTTTTAACATATGAGATATGATAAAAAGAAGGTCCCCATACTTTATCCACATTGGATAAACATGATAAACGACGCTCCCGAGACAGAGGACTCGGGTTGTGATGGTCACCATGCTAATTCTTGGAAGGGATATCCTTATCCACCCATCCTATTGCCGAGATTTTGCCATTTCTGACAGATGGACTGTTCTTGTTATAAAAAATAACTTGCATGATAAGAAATATAAGACTCGGAAAATTTTTTAGCTTCTGTGAACAGACCGCTATGGAACATGTCACGTGACCACCTTGATCACGTGATTCGCGCATGGACTAAACAATGGCAGATGTGCATTAAAATCGAAGAGGACCACTTTAAAATATAATAAACACTGAAACCTCATTTTAATTCTTTTAAGGAAGTAATTCAATTAGTTTGCGAACTTTTTGATCACCCCTCATATTTAATTGATGATGTCTTATGAAATTAAAATTTATAAGCTCAGGAAAGAATTCAAATTATCCACAGTGAGGCCTACAGATAAAGATTCAGGAATTTGAAACCACTGACTTGGACATAGACATTTTATTCTTTGTAAGAATGAGCATTGCAGGGCAGACATTCACTTCAATATAGCAATCTGAAACAAAGTATCCTGAAAGTAAAAGACACAATCATATAATTTTATTTTATTAAACTTTAAGATGCATGTCAAGACCAGTGCCCTAAATGGCAGAAATGTCGTATTGATGATAACGGCAAACCAACCTGTGAATGTGAGGCTTGTAGTGCCGAGGAAACACAGCCTGAGAGTCGTAAGTACACTGGTGTAGATTATGTAGGAAATATGGAGAGTTTGTAATGTAACAGTAAAATGTCTAATCTGGGCACCTGTCTAATAGTTCTATAGAAATTTCCTGGATTAGACAACATTCTAGGTTAGGCAACATTTTAAACAATTTAATTTACATTTACTCAGAGAGAATAAAAGTTTTTATCATATTAGGCAAGATTTTGGAATACACAACATTTGGATTAGATAAGTTTCACTATACTAAATAGAGCTTTAAAAGTTGAGATACATATATGTACATGTACATACAAAGGCTGATAAGAAAGTCTAGACACATTAAACTGAAGTAGTAATACACAGTCAAATGCAAAAAATTGTTGCATTGCTTTATATAAAAAATTTGATATCAAAAAGTACATTGAATATATAGTGCACATAGCACTCTGTATTTTGGAGCTACCATAAATCACTCTCTTTTTGACCCACTAAAAAGCTGGAATAAAACTAGAAACTAAAAGTTATTGCCATGTTTAATTCCATTAGTATTTGTGCATTATTTAATCAAAGGTCAAAAATAGACAAGTATATAAAGAAAAAGAATGAAATAAACATTCTTGAAAGCATTTTGGCACTGCTTCGAAAGATTTACCTTATGGTTCATCATAACTTGTTATTTTTAAATCAAAGTAATTGAAAGGAGATGGGTGAACATAGCGTGCCTATATCCTATAGCTTCAGATATATAAAATCATTTCAATTTGTGAATTAAGTATTTAGAGTAAAGTTCTCATTATTGAAATTTATGAAAATATGATGAGACTTTTCTGGGGAAAATTTTCTCAGCAAAATTTATTCTTTTATTAAAAAAATAATGTGGTATTCGTGGGGTTCGAACCATAGCAATAAAAATCCTGAGTATCATTTTCTTTCGAGACTAGCACGCTAACCACTAGACTACACAAGTCCTGATGAAAGGTGGCATTTAAATCATATTTGTGATATGACCTTGACTTATGGACTTCAAGTATTTCTCAAAAAGATGCAAATGTTATATCATAAAAGTATATTTTTTAGGTATATTGGGTCTTTGCTCTATATTTTTGGAAACCAAAAAATGTATATTTTTATGCAAACTTTGAGGATAAACTTTCAAAAAAATGGAGCAAAGACCTACTCATATCGAAAAATATTGTTATAGGGTGAGAAAATGACTCTTTTTGCCCTCTTTAGTGTGTGTATGATATTTTATAAGCAAATAATTTCAATATTTGTGTGATTTTTGCAAATTGTAGATATTTCACATGAAGTATATTTTAATGTTAGATAAAATATCAAGGACATTTCTGATATAATTAAAATTTAATTTTTCACCTTCATGTTTGTTACACTATTAGGCTTATAGGTCATCATGTTCACATCTTCTTTTACACTCATAAAAAAAATTAGTATTTGAAAAGTTAAAAAAAAAAATCCTCAAAATATATTGATTCTTCATTTTACAAAACAGACTAAACTTTAAAAATGTACCTTAATGCATATGTTAAATGTTTATTTGTAATAAAGATAAACTTCAAAATTTGCTTTCCCAATTATTTGCTGATAAGTACACATAGATATCCATCACATTTTAAAATTTGTACATAGTTAATCTACACAGTAATAATGTGTGTTTTGTTTTTGCAGCAAAAGTCTGCAGCAATATGCTGGATTTGTACCCCAACATGTGTGTGTTTAAGAAGGTCATGTGTATGCTAGACTTGGAACATGTGCCCCTGAATTCAACAACTCCATGCTATGATAAATCTGGAGGTAAATTGAATTACTTTAAAAATTCTCAAAGTAATAAACCTTGCTGTTTTATTTTTTAAACGTTCAGAATAATATTATTCATGTTTGTTGGCAGATCAAATGTTGTGCTTAATACATGTATACATACTAATTTGATCTTTTTTGTCGACAGAACCAATGACATCAGATTGGTCCCCATGGAGCACTTGCAGTGTGACCTGTGGGGTGGGGACCCAGTCAAGAACTCGTAAACCAAACCGTGATTTTGATGCCTTCCTTGCTGGCAAATATCCCCTGGAAGATGTCAAGAAATGCTACAAAGACCCATGTCCTGATGGTTCGTAGTCTAAAAATGAAATCAGTCATACACTTTTTTTTGTCGGTTTGATTCACAAAAGATTTATCATTGCATGTTTTCCTTACTCACAATTTATGAATTGATTTTATAAATTTGAATACAGTTGAATTTTGCTAACTCAAACATGATATCTCAAATACCATGTATATGTCCAAGTGATTTGGAAGTCCCAACCACTTAATTTAAGTATTTTACTCCTTGATATCTTGAATCCTCGGATATCTTGAAGTTTTTTTTTCAGTCCCTTGGAGTTTGAGATAGAGAGGTTTGACTGTATTTTTTAGAATGAAATATAAAGAAATTAAAAGAAATAGTAATTTAAGAGCATGATTAGTGAGGTCACCTGTTTTGTTTTGTTTTTTTTTATTTAGGTCCTTGCTACGAGTTCAACTGCACCCTGTCATCCCAGGAGTGTGTCGTTATTGCGGACACGGCTAAATGTCAGTGTCCAGAGTGTAGTGACATGGAGGAGGATGAAGTGTGTGGTAGAGTGGGAACCAATAAAACAACATACAAGAACCCCTGTGAGGCCCAGCAAGACGCCTGCAATAAGAGTCTTCCCCTCGACATCCTCAATGTGGGAGAATGTGGAGGTAAAAAAAAAAAACATTTTTGTGTAGAAAATTGAAAGAAATCAGGGAAAAGGAAGCATGGTTCATACACCATTTATCGATTTGATCAGTTATTGTAACAAAATATGGTAGTTTTTAGTTGTAGTAAAGCTTTTACACTGTATCTGAAAATGATTTGTCTAAAATTGCAAATCTTGATATAGGTTAACGATTTGAAAATATTTATAAAACAGATGATTGTGTGTCCAGAAACTATTCAACTGCATCAACATTTTTTACCTTGACCTTTCCTTTTACCTTGACCTCACTTTTCTCAAATTAATGTTTAGCTCAGTTTAAAGAAACCGTTCAAAATAGTGTAATCAAACTTCATATCCTGATACATACTGATGTTAGCTATTCAATTGCATCAACATTTTTTACCTTGACCTCATTTTTCTTAAACTAATGGTTAGCTCAATTTTAAATAAACCATTCATTTATTTTATCAAACTTCATATGCTGATACCTATTAGTAAGAGCTATTCAACTGCATCAAAAACTTTTGACCTTGAACTTTCCTGTGGCCTTGACCTCACTTTTCTTGAATTTGTATTTTGTTTAGTTTTAAAGAAACCATTTAAGATATTTTTATGTAAGCTTATGCACTTTACATAGTTTGGCATGAATTTATTATCTATATCGGTGAGATTTCATCATCTATATACAATTTTTAGATTTCACTTTCAATTTTAAAGAAACTATTCAAGATATTCTCATCAAACTTCATACACTAATACAAACTTTCATGTTGCATTACTAATATACCTTCGGCCGGAGATTCATGTCCTATGGACATATTTCTAGTCTTTGTCATTGTTAAAGAGGAATATTAGATACTTCTCAACTGCCCAAGTTTCCACCTTATTTCTAAAATAAGGAATCTTTAATCTTTCAAATTGTCAATATAACAACATTTACATCAAAATTACAAAGTAAGTTGTATTCATTAGTTATACCTAGCAAAACCTGTATATATGGGTAAAATGCTACTTGATAAATTCTTTTTTTTACTCAGAGGCAATTTGCTCTCAGCCATGCAGTCTTATATCCTTAATATAATGTGACTTTGTTTTTATAGTGGAACCTCTAAACTGTACACGAGTGCCACACATGATTACAATAACTAGTGATGATGGCTGTGTATCCAGCTCTAAGATAAATGTAGCCAAGTGTGATGGTGGATGTGGGAAATATTCCACCCTCTGTTGTGACAAGGCAGTCACCAGTAAGGAGGATGTAGCTCTTATCTGTCCAGACAACAGTGTCAAACATCAAAAGGTAAGACACAGTGTTAGATTTCCTCATTAGGACCCCTCATCAAGATGCAGGTGCCCTTTAGAATCTCTGTGTCAGTCTGTCTGTCCACCCATCTGGTGAAGGGTGATTAGAGGAAGACACTTATAGTTTTTTGGGTCATGTGGTCATTTAATTTTCTCATTTTGTCAGTAAACATGAATAAGTACTCTGTTTACAGAACTAAGGTATTAAAATATTAATCCTGTTAGAATATATACACATAAATTTTGAGATTAAAATCACCTTTATCTTAATTAAAGCAGTATCATAATCATACAGATTCTGAAGTAATTATTTATACCCCAGCTTGAAAAGTGGACGAAGGGGGGGGGGGGGGGGGGTATAGTGATGGGACTGTCCTTATCTCTGTTACACTTGGAGGTAGCCATCCCTTATCTGCAACAATTCTAACACCACTGAGTGCAATAATGAAACTTTCACAAATTCTTTATTACATAAGGGCTTTGAGCATTTTCTCTTTTATATTTCAATCAGACACATATTTGAGGTTTCCTGTACACTGCCATTCTTTCTGTTATCTGAGGGTATCCATCTCTTATCCTCTTTAACTCCTCCTATATGAAAAAATAAAATTTAATGACACTTTCACAGAATCCATATTACATAGTGACATTGTGCACCTCCTATTTTACATTTTGATTGGATATATTTGGGATTTCCCATAGCAAAACATGGACTTTGCCATTCTTGGTACACTTAGGGGTAGCCCTCCCTTATCTGCAACTCTTCTTAAACCACTGAATCCAATTTAATAAAACTCATAAAAAAATCTAATTTATTACATAGTACCATTTTGCACTTCCTATTTTACATTTCCATCGCAAAGATAATTGGGGGTTTTCATAGCAAAACATGGATTTTTGCTATTCTTTATTTAACATGGGGATACCCATCTCTTATCCGCATCTCCTTCCATACCAATGAAAATCTTTATTACAATGTGCCATTATGACCTCCTATTATACATTTTGATAGGACAGATATCTGGGGTTTCCTATAGCAAAACATGGACTTTGCCAATATACTTGATAAAGAGGGTACCCATTTTGTTAACTCAGCTCCTCCTAAGCCCCTGAATTAAAGTCACTGGAACTTTCACAGAATCTCATTTGCATACTGCCAAGCAGTGCACTTTACCATTATACTCATATGGGAGCAGGGGGTACCATTTTGTGAACTCAGTGCTCACACTGCCTCTATTTATTTTCAAAACAAGTACAATGAAGTTTGAAGTATGTTAGCAAGACCAGTTGAATGTGTTGAAAGCCAATTTTATTTCAAAAATCATGATTATTTTTTATTATATTTAATGAAAATCATTTTACTGGATATGTCTCTTTAAAACTCTATTAATAGAAACCTTTTTTTTAGGTGGATGTCATAGTGGAATGCAAGTGTAAACCCGCTCCTAAACCTGCACCATAACTGCTTCTTGGAGGATTCATGAATTCACTTTCATTTGACTTTTTTGTCACAAAACTTTTCAGCGCTCTAAAAATTTACTTAAAACACTTCCAAAAAAGTTATAAATATTCCAGTTCACTGAATATTGTTACTTGCAATTAAAAGAAAAAATAAGCTTTAAATCCTTTGTCAGATATTTCAGAATTGGCAAATTATTTCACGGTTGACATATCTGCAATTTTGTTCCAGTGAAATAGTTTTTTTGTTAACGAGATTCAGACATTATTTATTGGTGACTTGAAATTCAAAAACAGTTTTTTTTTGTGAATTTTCTTTCCATTGGTGGTAAACAGAAATTTAGATTATGAACCTTTGTCTGAAAGGAAAGTCTAATTATTGAATTTGGGTTGCTGTTTCGTACTTATATCCATTGCAACATCATAATGAAAATTTTACAGAATTCAGTTTGTCCAAAAAATTTGCATAGAAAAACATCATTTTGATAACATTTCTTGTTATCCTATTTTGATGACTTTTTTTTAAAAAAGAAAAAATAGAGCATGGATTGACAATTTTTATCATCAAAAATGTAATTCTAATAAAAAGAAGAAAAAAAAATATATTTAGAAGATGGGAAAGTTGTAGTCATCCTGCAATTGATAGCAGTTTCTTTTACCTTTAATTCCTTTATTTATATGAAAATAATACCAAAATAGTGCAGGAGCAGTATTTGAAACTGTGATTGATAACTGCAAAGTACTTACATGCATTTAACAATGTATTTAAAAGGGCAACTAAATAGTTTTCATTCTTTTACCTAATGATGTTATGATACTAGATGTAAACTGTTAAATATTACATGTTTCACTTTCCTGTTTCTATATTGTTATTACAAATAAACAATATGTTAAAGAGTATTTTATGTATGTTTTGATTTTTCAGAATGAACAAAATTCAATTCTTGAGTAAATCTGTTTATATGGGTTCACTCAGGCACTTGTTTCTGTAAGAATTTTTTAACGCCTAGTATAATAATAACAAGGTATCTAACTCCGAATAAAATGGAATACCCCCTTTCTAGAATTCTCTGGCCTGCAAGCTGAGATTTGATGCTGTTTATGGAAATAAAAGAAAATAAAGACAAGTATGCCATATATGGTTGTGTAGATAAATTAACGTAGAGGACAAAGGTTATAAACAGTTTACAAGTGCTTTTTCTCTGAAAGTGTAAATGACAACAATATGGGGAGGGGGGTACTCCATGTAATTTGAAGTTGGATACATATACCATATTATTATACTGTGGGTTAAAAAATTATTAAAGAAACAAGTTCCTGTGTGGGATCTGCATAATTAGGACCCAGCAAGGATTTGCGGGTGCCCTATAGTAATCACCCTGTCTGTTTGTCATTCTTCTGTCCACAAAATTTCTGTTTTTTTCTAACTTTTTTTATGGTTGACCTATTTAGTTCAAATTTGGTATGTTGGTTGAATAGGCAGTAGGACATATTTTGATGTTAGGTTTGCTTCTCTGTCATCCGGTTTGGAGTTGGGATGTAGATTCCTTAACTTTATATAAGAATGAATGGGCACAGAGAGAAAACTGCTGAGAATGTTCCTATTGTAAACTATGAAAGCTGCAATGAGTCTCATGGGATTAACTAACTTTCCTCATGGAAGAAAATCCGAAGCATTATCTTTATGTGTCACATTGAGATAATTAACACCTCTGTCTGCAAATGAAGTTTGTTTTGAAGTTGAGGTCAATTCTGATAGAAGTTTACATTCTCTGAAATGTGAATTTTAAATAATGTTCAAACTTACACAACGAGATTTTATTGAATTCTAAAAATAAATTATAGATAGAGATATCTTGATTATTATTATTATTATTATAATTTTTTTTATTATTTTTTTTTTTTGGCTGCCTTATGTAAATTCAAGAATACTATTAATTTTAACAGGTAGTCAGATAATAGCCTCCTTCTATCATTGCTGAAAAAGTTCTTATTGTAAACTTCAAAGAAAAGGATGAGAGAGCAGTACAATTAATCCCCCTGGGATTAATTATTTTGCCTGCTGCAGAAAATTTTAGAGGCTTATCTTTATCTGTCACTTTAAGATTAATTTACACCTTTGTCTGCAACTGATGTTTGTTTTGAAGTTGAGGTCAAGTCTGGGTCATATTTGCATTCACTGAAGGGTAGCTTTTTATAAAACATGCTTCATTCTTGTTTAAATATATATTACAGATGTAATGTTTTTTACTGCCTTATGTAAATACTAGTTTGCCTTATGTAAATACAATTTACAAGTTGTTGGATATTTAGGAATTATCTTGAAATTTTATAAATACAGTTACTGTTGCTTAATCTTAATGTATTTTTAAATTTTTGGAATCTTGCAACTAAAAATCTCATCCGTAAGCTGCACCCTTATATTTCTACCCCTCGACTGGGCCCTTGCTGACTGATTACTTTTCAAGTTTTTACAGTCTGAATTAAGGGAAAGATGTTTTTTGACTTCATTCATTAGAGACCCTGCAGATAATTAGTATCTTGTAAAACAATTCATTCAAAAAAAAATCTTATGTTCATCAAATAAAAGAATTTGATGCTGAAACACTAGATTAAACACCATATGTCTTTTTTAGATATATGTATATTGAAAAAAAACCCCGAAAAACCCAAAATACTCTAGTTTGACAGATCTGATGGCATCCAAATCAAAGCTTTAATATGTGTAATGATAAATGTACCTTTTACGCTTAAGGTTCTACTTCTGAAAATCAGAAAAAATAAATCTGACCACTTTGTACAGAATGCACTGTCGGGAATTATGACATTTTTAGAACTAGTAACCATACGTAATTTCCACACATTTACCTTTTTAGGTCACCTGAGTCACTCAGGTGACCTATTGCTATCCGTTCTCGTCCGTCGGCATGCATCGTGCGTTAACATTTGAACATTTTTAGCTTCTTCTCTGAAACCGCTTAACCAATTTCAACCAAATTTGGCATATAGCATCTATGGGTAAAGGGAAACAAAAATTGTGAATTTCATGGTCCCTGCCCCCCTGGGGCCTGAGGGGTGGGGCTAAAACCACCAAAAATGATGCAATCTTTAAAAATCTTCTTCTTTACTCCTGGACATCAAGCAGTCAAACTCTTGGTATGATTGTAATCAGCATTGAGCCCTCTACCAAAATTGTGAAATTCATGGCCCCAGGGTCAGGGGTTCTGGCCCCAGGGTGGGGCTATATAGATCATATAGTGAAAGTGCATTATTTCTTTGAAAATCTTCTTCTCTGCTCCTGGGTATCAAATAAGGTAATTAAGTACATAGTTATGAAGAGCAAGAGTGCCTCTTCCAAAATTGTGAAATTCATGGCCCCAGGGCCAGGGGTTCTGGTCTTAGGGTGGGGCTTTATTGATTATATAATGAAAATGCATTTATTCTTTGAAAATCTTCTTCTCTGCTCCTGGGTATTAAATAAAGTAACTAAGTACATAGTTATGATGAGCAAGAGTGCCTCTTTCAAAATTGTGAAATTCATGGCCCCAGGGTCAGGGGTTCTGGCCCCAGGGTGGGGCTATATAGATCATATAGTGAAAGTGCATAAATTTTTTGAAAATCTTCTTCTCTGCTCCTGGGTATTAAATAAGGTAATTAAGTACATAGTTATGATGAGCAAGAGTGCCTCTGCCAAAATTGTGAAATTCATGGCCCCGGGGTTAGGGGTTCTGGTGTAAGGGCGGGGCTCTATTGATTATATAGTGAAAATGCATTAAATCTTTGAAAATCTTCTTCTCTGCTCCTGGGTATTAAATAAAGTAACTAAGTACATAGTTATGATGAGCAAGAGTGCCTCTTTCAAAATTGTGAAATTCATGGCCCCAGGGTCAGGAGTTCTGGTGTTAGGGTGGGGCTCTATAGATTATATAGTGAAAAAGCATTAATTCTTTGAAAATCTTCTTCTCTGCCCCTGGGTATTAAGTAAAGTAACTAAGTACATAGTTATGATGAGCAAGAGTGCCTCTGCCAAAATTGTGAAATTCATGGCCCCGGGGTTAGGGGTTCTGGTGTAAGGGCGGGGCTCTATTGATTATATAGTGAAAATGCATTAAATCTTTGAAAATCTTCTTCTCTGCTCCTGGGTATTAAATAAAGTAACTAAGTACATAGTTATGATGAGCAAGAGTGCTTCTTTCAAAATTGTGAAATTCATGGCCCCAGGGTCAGGAGTTCTGGTGTTAGGGTGGGGCTCTATAGATTATATAGTGAAAAAGCATTAATTCTTTGAAAATCTTCTTCTCTGCCCCTGGGTATTAAGTAAAGTAACTAAGTACATAGTTATGATGAGCAAGAGTGCCTCTTCCAGAATTGTGAATGTCATGGCCCCAGGGTCAGGGGTTCTGGTGTTAGGGCGGGGCTCTATCAACTATCTAGTGAAAATGCATTAATTCTTTGAAAATCTTCTCTGCTCCTGGGTATTAAATTAAGTAACTAAGTACATAGTTATGATGAGCAAGAGAGCCTCTTCCCACATTGTGAATTTCATGGCCCCAGGGTCAGGGGTTCTGGTGTTAGGGCGGGGCTCTATCAACTATATAGTGAAAATGCATTAATTCTTTGAAAATCTTCTCCTCTGCTCCTGGGCATTAAGGTGATAAACTAAGTACATAGTTATGATGAGGAGGTGGGCCCCTTCCAGAATTGTGAAAACCATGGCCCCTGGGTCAGGGGTTCTGGTGTTAGGGCAGGGCTCTATTGATTATATAGTGAAAATGCATTAATTCTTTGAAAATCTTCTTCTCTGCTCCTGGGTATTATTTAAACAAACTAAGTGCATGGTTATGATGCATAAGGATGCCTTTTCAAAAATTTTGAATTTCATGGCCCCAGGGTCAGGGGTTCTGGTGTTAGGGTGGGGCTCTATTGATTATATAGTGAAAATGCATTGATTCTTTGAAAATCTTCTTCTCTGCTTCTGGAGATTATTTAAACAAACTAAGTGCATGGTTATGATGCATAAGGATGCCTTTTTAAAAATTGTTAATTTCATGGCCCCAGGGTCAGGGGTTCCGGTGTTAGGGCGGGGATCTATTGATTATATAGTGAAAATGCATTGATTCTATGAAAATCTTCTTTTTTGCTACTGGAGATTATTTAAACAAACTAAGTGCATGATTATGATAGGCAAGGATGCCTCTTCCAAAATTTTTAAATACATGGCCTCAGTTTTTGGGGTTCTTGAAGGGAGGGGGGGGGAGGCTCTATTGATTATATAGTGAAAATGCATTAATTCTATTAATTAATCATTAACTAATCCTGTCTGCTCCTTAGTGTTGAGCTGATAAATAAATTGCTTAGCTATGATGAAGATGGGAGCTTCGAACAGAATTTTTAAATCTTGTGGTCCTAGGGTCAGGGGTTCTGGCATAACGAGGAAGGGGGGGGGGGCTTTTGATAATATAGTGGAAAAGTGTTAATTCTTTGAAGTCCATAGTTATGATGATGAGGGTAACTCTTCCAAATTTGTAAATTTCTTGACCTTTGGTCTTGGGTTCTGGTGTTAGGGTAAGGCTTTGTTGAATCTGTAGTGAAAATGCATTGTACCTGTGAAATTCTTCTCTGCTTCTGGGCATATCGAAAGCAAACTGAGTAAAAGTTTTAATGATATAAGTAAGCGTATTTCTATCAGATTTTTGAACATCTGGACAATTTGTCTAAGCATTCTGGTCCTGGACAGGGCTCTATTAATTTGTATTCTACTGAGAGAAGTTATTCCCCTTTTCCATTCACCTTTGATAATTAATCACTGTAAATAATGTATTTGAAAGATTAATAGAATAAGATAATTATGCAAGAATGTTTATCGTATAATTCAAAAAGTACTTTCTTAGTTTTAAT